TCTCTGCACCCTCTGAGGCACTTAGGCGCCGCCTTAAGGTGGGGCCTTCGGCGGGCTATACTCGCGCACCCTCTCGCCGACCCTCTCGAAAGGGGTCCCGCGCCACCTCTCCACCTCTGTCGACCTCTTTTTTACCTCTTTTGACCTCTTTTTGACCTCTCGGCCACCTCTTGTTTGCCCTCTGTCTACCTCTTTTTTCGCATGAATATAATATATAGTAATCGCATGACAAATTTTTAGCCCAGCATTACAAATTTAAATTTGTAATGCTGATTCACCTGGAGAAAGAGATTTGTCATGCATAAACGCAACTACTACGAGTACGATACTTCTGCACAGGATACGATCAACGAGCTGGCGAGCCTGACCAACGACCCACTGTTTGCCGGGACGATTGAGTATTGTTTTGGTGTTTGTCATGCGGAACTTGCGTTGTGAGTTTGGTTTGTCATGCATAATCCGCATGTAGTGATTTAGATTTAGTGATATCGGATAATTACAATTATCACAGCTCCTTCGAGCGTCTCATCCAGAAGGGCGAATGGTACGACCCACAGCTCTTATGAATTGGAACGTGTCCTACTGGATGTTTTCTGGGTCCTCTGCATTGTTGTACTTGTACTAGTTGTGTTGCAGTATTATAGATTGAGTGTCACCTCCGCATGCGCTTACTCAGTGTGATAGTGATTTTGTGTTTGAGAAGACTTCTACGTACAGACCTCCATGGTTTTGTATCAGCATCACAACCTTGCACTTGGGTATGTTGATCCTGTCGCGCATCACAAACTCTTCGGACCCAGAGCTTCCTCGAGAGGACTGTCTCCATGTGCATACCTCGCTGTTTTCTACGACTGGGAGGCCTACGACAACTAGATTTGTCGAACTTCTTGCTTCGCGGCCGGGACGAGGTTGTGTACTTCCTGTTCATGGGACTCCAGCATGACAACCGGCAACCACACCAATCGACAGAAAAATTTCCGCATGTTGTTCTTCGTGGAGTACTATCAAATGCAAAAGTGTCTGGGTCTGGAAACTTGTAATGCTGTGTTGGGAATAGTGAATTCTCTGTAATGCACAGCCAAGCACTTCTTCATAACCTCCGGGTCGATTGGTAAGTACTCAACCACGGGAGCCGGAAGATCTTCGGAAACGCATTTGAATGAACAAAGGCCGCGCAGGTAGAAATCAGCGGGCAGCTCCTGCTTCTTGCCTTATAGTAGGTACTTGAATGACCACTATGAACTACACGAGCACCATAGCGTCTTCTTGTTGAAACGGCCGCGGCCAGGCTTTGGATCTATATCAGGCGGCGCGCCGCCGTCCTGCCAAATGCATCACGACTCCTGATTGTACTAACTCGCCCTATCGCCGCAAGATGAACAAGGGAGGCAATAAATAAATAAATGCAAGTAGTCTCAGTTTTGTGTGAAAAAATTTTACCTGGGTGTTCTTCTAATTGCAGCCTGAACTCAATGTGGAAGCCGCTAAATCCACTTCCGGTATTAATATCTTGTTGTAGTCGGTAATATCTTGTTGTAGTCGTTAGAGCATCTTCTCCGTACTGTTGAATCTGCTGTGCACGTGATGAAATTGAAATCACATCGGTCGTCCAACCCTCGTCCTAGAAGTCGTCCTCGTTCTCTCCTTCCACGTGGACTTTCGTTCGTGAATCGTGCGGTTTCCTCTTCGTACAACAGCATAACGCTCGGTTTTTCTCGGTCTCGTCCATTCTTCCCCTACTTTGTGCTTCTAGGTGGTTTTTGGTTGTAAATTTCGCGTCCTAAAACTCTGCTTGTGATGTCTGTTGACTTCTATTTTACTCGGACCGTCGTCGAAGCTGGATACCATACTTACACGTACTGATTCATGGTTACTGTATGATATGTAGTTGCGTAATGTACGTTTTCCCATAGGGCTTGTTTTTTTTCACTCTAAAAACGACATTGTCACTTGGCTTGCAGGAAGTAGTGCAATCTCGATCTCCAACATTTTCACCTCAACCCTGACACGACAGATAAGCTCATCCCGCGAAATAAGAGTCTAGCTTTTCTTGCTCACCACCCCCACGCTCTTGTACTTTGTTCTTTTTCAACAGCTTTACCGAAAATTCCGAATGAAACTACGACCAGAAAAAGAAAAAAGTAAATCGTTTCCGGAACAGAGCCTGTAGAAGCTGCATCGCGTAGTTCTTCTACTTCTTCGAAATCGAACCACTAATTCGCAGAAAAAGATAGCTCTTGCTCCCAGTCGTGCAGCGGAGCACCGGAAAATAAGTGCGACTCCGTCGAAGATGATGCGTACCACGCGCGATGAGAAGACCTCCGCAACAACCAGGTCGTCAGTCGGCGCCAGCAGTGCGGCCCGCCTGCTCTGCGCCGCCCTTCTCATCAAATTCTCCGAAAATGAAGATGGAGCAGCACTGCGAAGTGCGTTGGCGCTCTATGCATTGCAAAAGTATCGTACTAGTAAAAATAGCATTACAAATTTTTCCAGAACGAAAAATGGAATTCGTAATGCTGAATAAGCTAAGGAGCCAGATTTTTTGTCATGCATGACTGCAATTACTACAAGTGCGATGCTTTTGCACAGGATACGCTCTCTTTCAACGTGAAGCAGCAGCAGAAGAAGGCGCATGCACGTCGAAGCATTACTGTGCAGAAACCAGGCCGCGCGGGGACGGGGGAAAATCAAGCGGGGAAGCAGGACGCAGGAGTGTTGGGAACTACAGCTACGGGTCGCGGGACCGGCATTGCCACGGCGTCGGTGCAGAATGAGGTTGTGCCATCTGCGCAGGAAGCGGAAGTCCGGACGATGCCAGAAATGTCGTCCGCGTTCACGTATGGTCTTGTGAGCTGTTCCATTCCCATCTGCCACTGACTTTTTTTTTTGCGATACACGTGGACGCAAAAAGAACTCCAGTAGCTAGGGCTACCACTCGCCGGCAGCTGATGTGCATGACCAAAATCATGCCTGGTCGCGTGACAGGCCTGAATAAAGAAGTGCGTGTATAAATATTGTAAGTTTTGCAGTGCGGATTATGCGGATTGATCATGAAAGCGGAGTTAGAGCAGCGTAACAGAGGCATCTATTGAATGAAAACGCGAGGTGAAGTCTACTCGCCTCGGACATTCGCAACATCTGCGATGTTCTTGTTACTCTGTCTATCGCAAACAGTTAAAAAGTAGAAAAAAAGACATTACGTTTCTTGAGAATGGAACGGTTGAGGAGGCCATAGTACAAATACGGAAGTAAACAGTACAGCGGGTCGTGGAATGGGGTTCCTGGAAGAGTCGTTAGCTGGAACAGGACACAACACCGGATATTTCTATTGTCGCACTTGCATGAAGCACAGCTGGTTAGCTTTTGTGGACGTGAACACCGGCCGTCGAACCGTCTGGCAGATGAAGGACACTGTTTTGAAACTCGACCACAGCATCAGCGAAAAAACTGGAGGCTCGGCTGCAGACGAGCTGACAAAGGAGTTCGAGCAGAGGTAGCAAAGTGAAAAGTGCCAGGTCGTGGTGCCGTCTCGAGAAATGTTGTTGAACGCCAGCTCCTGTCGCCAGGCCATTTTTGCGCTTTCCTCGTGAATAAACTATAATCCTCGACGAGATGCGTGGTTATTTGCAGAAGAGAAATTCAATCCAAAATGGATGCCGAAGGAACTCTGCATTTTTGCTGTCTTCGTGCGCATTGTCTTCACCAGCATGCAGTGTAGCTGAAGACAACTGCCATGAAGATCATGGAGCAGGAGGCAGTCTCCTGCTGCTCGATTCTGTCATAGTACCAGAACGAGTCGAGATCGAGTTCTAGTCGTGCAGGTGCTTGCAAATCGTGCTGGAACATCAAGGACGATTTTTGCATGGTTTCTCACTGTCGCTGAAATTGATTCTAATTCGTAATTCTTTTGAGCTGCGCTAGAGGTAGAGCTAGCACAAATCGCAAAAATTCGCGTTGTTGTCGAAGTAGTTGCTGATGATTTGAAAAAAGAGCTGTAGCGACTTTTTTGTGGCAAATGAAATATTTATTCTCCTCGTCCTTCCTTCTATCTCAGACCACGGAGACGGACCGGACCCGGAGCGCTTTTCATTTTGATACAAGGTGGGAAATGTGTGGGGGCACGGGTCATGGAGGCAGCTGCATGCACCGCCTTATGTATGCGCACTGGCGTGGGGATGTGATGAGCGGCATAATGGCGGAGACGCACGTTGTCGACCATAACTATTTAATGTGGCATGACTACAAAATCGGGGCGGATGAATCGAATGGCCTGGGCTGGATGAATCGAATGGCCCCCGTCGGGTGGGATCTTATGGGCGATGCTTGGAAGACTATTCAGGAGGAACTGCAAAAAGCTTCCGATGAATTCGGAAGTGCGCTCAAGGTGATGAGCCTGTCATGTGATGGCAGAGCGTTCGACTCTTCAGGAAGGGGCTATTGCCCTTTTGGTTCTCGCGACACGTGGAACGACCACGGCAATGACGCCATAACGGAGAAGACGAAGCAAGAACTATCAAAATGAAAAGTCCCCCGCTGAGCTCCCCAGATGCAAAACAAAGGCCCGGCGGGTGCAGGATTATTTGCGTGCGCGTCTTGTTGCAGAAGTAAGAAACCTCCGCAGCCACGTCCTCAGCCTGTTTACGTTTAGGGGCAGGAAGGTCTAGCTTTGCATTTTGGCAAACGCCTGCCCGGTAGACCCAGCACCGGGACGAGGAATCGCCTCCATCAAGCGGGGGCGCACACCTCATCGACCTGCGCTTGCCTTCTTGCAAGACAAAAAAGCGGCCACAAATCTGCATATAGGTCCTCCCAAGTTTTCCTTTACCTTTTGAGTGTGGGGAGCAGGGTGGGACTTTTCCTAGCGATAAGAATGCTTAGACAAGGCGTGTTGTAAGCAGACGGAGCGCGGGTCTTCAGGGTGGTTCGGCGATGACTACAAATGCGCGGGAGAAAACTTTGAACAGCTCTCAGCCTTGTTGCAGACCAGCCCTCTCGCAGAATCCATCGACAGAACATCTTCAATGAGCAGCGAGGACTGGGGAGATTTTCCACTAACCCCCGCCACGACCACTCCAGCGCCGACCACGCAACCGCCGACCACGCCGCTGGCGACCACGCCGCAGCCGACCACGCCGCTGGCAACCACGGAGCAGCCGACCACGCAACCGCCGACCACGCCGCTGGCGACCACGCCGCAGCCGACCACGCCGCTGGCAACCACGGAGCAGCCGACCACGCAACCGCCGACCACGCCGCTGGCGACCACGCCGCAGCCGACCACGCCGCTGGCAACCACGGAGCAGCCGACCACGCAACTGCCGACCACGACCCCCGCTCCGAAAGTTGATGCGCTTTCTGAGGTGGGAGCTGTGGGGCTTGGGGAAGGCGGCGGTGGCGTCGCTGGCGAACCCTCTGGCGCTCCGCAAGCTGATGCGGCTTCCGAGGTGGGAGACCCGCCCAGCGGCCAGTGTTGTTGAGGTTTCAACCTTGAACAGCGAGGGAACACTCTGTTGTGCAACCTGTAAGCACTACTAGACATCAGTGCCACAGCGCCCCATGCTCTAGCTTTGCGCCTTGTGACTACATGATATAACTGCAGCGAGGAGAGCGACAGCACAAGTGCTTTCTTTATAAGTAGTCCAAAGAGAAATTTCATTTAGAAGAATTTAGATTTTCATCGTTCACGTGCATCTACATGCCTAATCCTATACATTGTTTTCCTCTACGAACAAACCTTTTTTGGCAGCAAGCAACTTTCAAAACGTCAGTCGGTTTTTTACAACAACTTTTTCGTCAGCAGCAGTAGCTTGTTTTACTTTTTATCTTTTCACATCCTCAGCAGCAAGGTGGAGTGTGCTTTTTTCACATCCTCGCACGCATTTACGTTTTACTCAAAAAAAGCTTCATCTCGTGGTCCCAGACTAGAATAGGAATTTGGTAGGCAGATCCTGCCTGCTACGTGGCCATATCCTGGTTACTTGTACTTATCCTCCCCGAAAATACGGACCCCGAACATATCGACCCGGGCCTGACCCCCGTTTCTTTTGGTCAGAGTCTTCCATTAAGTATAATTTCATACTGCACTTATTTCTGCCGCCGTGCTTTCAGCGACAGTTCTAAACGCGACAGTTGCAAAGGCGAAGCTGCCTCGGTGCGCGACTTCGAAGTGCACCCAGAAGTAGCACCAGGCACCACGCACAAAGCAACACGATTGTAGTAGTTTTCCTCGCGAAAAAGTATCCAGTCACGAAACAAAGCAAGGCAACCAAGGCAGCACCCCCGCAGCGCCGTGACCACAGCCACCTTTTCCGAGATATGAGATTCTTTCACGTAAAAGCCCACTTTAATATCACTCAGGAACCAAAAGGATGCGAGCAAGCAAGCTGCAAGTACTTATCCTCAACATCGTGAAGACGCTTATGTTGGGCAACGAGTGCTTCTGTAGCGTATTTTTTTCCGGATTTTATTGCTTTTTTTGGCTTTTTGGGTCTTCGGCTGCTGCAAAAAAATTGTTTTGTCCCCCAAATAAAAGTGTATAGGCCGCCGCCCCTACGGCCAACTATAAGGGTAAGGGAGCCCCCCCTCAAGGTCAATAACAATAGGTGTGCGCGCTTTTGTTCGGTTTTTGCCTTATGGAGAAATGTTTGTAGAAGTCCCTGGCCACGGTCAGTTACTTACATTATACACTTTAGAAAAAATGCGCTTCGTTTTTAGAACTGGAAGTAGTTGCTGTGGTCTAGGACTTGGCTTCTCCGATGAAAGTCGTGAAGTGGCGACCAAATTCAAACTCCTGAAACACCCCGCGCGAAAAGGCATGTAGCCCACACTGCTACTAAAAGCTGGAGACGACCAATAAGAACTCGCGGCGGTCGCAGCTTTTTCATTCTCTTGAGCACCGGACTAATTCGCACACTGACGGAATTGGCACCCACCCCGAGAAAGATATAAAAATCCAACCGAAAAGAACCCTAGCCCCGCGGGCGGCTCCTGCATTCGGCGACCCACTAGGCAGATTTTACGTATGTCTAGTGCAGTGTCAGCAGACGAAGCCCGGGGGGTGATCATGGGTAGTACGCACAAAACGGCTGTCGCACCGGTGCGCAACCTAGTAAGCCCATCATGCCTCGCTCGTGTTCCAGCCCTTCACTCGGGGCCTAGTGAAAATCGCGAAGGATTCATATGTGAGCATCGAAGCGCCGAACAAGAGCTCACATCGTAGCCGCATTTCTCTTTTCAGGCCGTCCTACTCAAAAATGATCAAACAGGGACAGGTTTTTTCATATTATAGTCAGTAGCCTGTATTAAGATGAAGATCGATGAAAAAGTAGATATTTATGTCGCTTTCGGTTCCGAATGCGTGCAATTCTTTTTATCTCTGGTTTATTAGCCCCCTCGCCCCCGCTATCCAAGAAAAAAACATTGTAGGTGTAACTTTTTTGGAGGAACAGCATTACAAATTTGTCTGGCATGACAGCAAAAACCTGTCATGCGCAGATAGTATCTGAAAACGCCCTTTGATGGGCCCTACGATGCATGCCAAGCATGACAGACGCAATCATCTTGCATGTTGCGCATCACAAATCTACACTAACAACGTTTTTTTCTTGGATACCCGCTCCGCAGTCTCCTCGAATTGGTCGTGGACCACGTTGACAATTGGAAGCCGGGGGCTGGTTATGGATTGTAAAAGTGTCTGGGTCTGGAAACTTGTGATGCTGGGTGGCGTATCATGAGGAGGCCACAAGTGCTGGCTCAGCATGACAAGTTTCTGAGCTTCTATATGATGCCTATTCTGCATGACAAACTGCGTTTTTGCATGACAGAAAAGTTGGGCTCTTGAGTAACGTGCATGACAGATTTAAGAGTCATGCCAGACAAGCATGACAAACTTGCATTCTTCCAGACCCAGACATTTTTACAGTGGATACTGGTCCCTGATGAATCGGTCTACTTCTCGGAGAAAAAGCCCCGAAGCACTACTTCTCCTGGCGGCAAAACAGACGCAATAAAGCCATCTTCTCTACTACTTCGCCCCCAGGGGACAAGACGTAGTCTTGCGTCACCCCTGTGTAAGTAGTCGGCTATGAATTGCAAATATGTCTGGGTCTGGAAGGATGCAAGGTTTGTCATGCACGTTTTGCGCGACTCCTGATGTCTGTGATGCATGCCCTAGCATAACAAATTTTTTGAGGGCTTCCTGATGCCTCTATCGCATAAGAAATGCCCTCTCGCCCTGGCAAAAACTGGACCTCTTTTGCTGTTCATGCAATACAAATTTTTGTAGAATTCATACGCATCTGCATCACAAGTTGCATCCTTCCAGAGGACCCAGACATATTTGCAATGCATATCGGCACAACAAGAACGAGAGATGGCCGCCACGACTTCACCCGCCGGGGCCAGTCCGGATTCTCTCATCACTGGGGGACCTCCACAAGAAGGTGGTTCTGCTGCGGCTCCATTTCTTCCTGCGGAGCAGATGGACCGGCTGCGCCAGGACGACCGCGGTGGTGGTCAACAGAGAAATGGTTCCCCGGTTACTATGGGTTTACAAGAAGAACTTGGGGCGGATTCTAATTTGAATCCAAATTACGCTGGAGCTGCAGAGCGGGAAGATGGTGGTGGGCGTGAAGATTCATCTGGCAAGCCAACTTTTTATCCTCCAACCGGGCCCGGCCCAGCAGGTACAGTCGAATCGAAAGCCAAAGCCAAAGCCGGTCCACCTGGAAGTAGACCACAATTGTCCGCATATCAAATGCAAAAATGTCTGGGTCTGGAAGAATTGGAACTTGTCATGCTAACTGTGGTCTCTAAAAAAATCTGTCTTGCATGACCAGCAAGAGGAGTTTAGTTTGTGCTACGCGGGGAGGGCGTTTGGCATGCGGAGTAGGCATCAGGAAGCCCTCTAAAAATCTGCGACGCTAGGTCGTGCATTACAGACATCCTGGGTCATGCAAAACATGCATGACAAGTCTCAGAATCTTCCAGACCCAGACGCTTTTGCATTTGATACCGCAAAAGCCAAACCCAAACCGGGAAGTCGAAGTCCTCCGAAGAAACTCACGATATTACAGCGAAAAATGCCCCCACCCCCACAATTGCAATATATTTGTTTTGCGAAGTTTCCGTATGAGAGCTTTTTGTCGTGCAGGAAAGGACTATGAATCTTTATCTTTCTGATGCAGAGTCTAGGCGTATGTAGCATCGCTTGCATGTTGAGAAGTGCCACTCTTCCTGGGATCTTTTGCAATACAAAGTTTTGCTGGAGAGTGCACGACTGAAAAGCTGTGACGCTGATAGATGCAAGAGGGCGACTGTTTCACTTGGAAAGGTTTGCAATACAAATGCCCCCAAGTTCTGCGGTGGAGGCGTTTTTCATTGTAAGACACGAAGCGGCAACTCGAAAAGATGCACAAAACGGACGCGGCGCTGCACAAGTTGCAGCAGAGCGACAAAAATGTGTGGCTGTCGGCGCGACGGGAAGAACCGGCGCCGGATCATCTTGTGTTATCTCGCCAGCAGGTGCTGCAAATGCACGATCACAACCAGGATCCGGAAATTCCGCACCCGATATCCAAGAAAGAAAGGTTGTACTTCGTATACTTGTTTTTTCAAGGTGGAACAGCATTACAAATCTGTCTCGCAACATGAGAGCAAAAACTTGTCATGCGCAGATAGCATCCCTTTTCAAAGGCGCTTGAATGGACCCTGAAATCATGCCTGTCCAACATGACAGACGCCATCATCTTGCGTGTTGCGCATCACAACCACCACGTTGCACTTAACAATGTTTTTTTTCTGGATACCCCAAGCACTACAACCACTACCCCGATGAGGTGCGATATGGATGTGTCAGGTTTGAAATCGTCAAAGTTGAAATAGTTTGTGATGCATAAAATGCAAGGCATGAAGTACCTGTCTTGCCGGGATGGCAAGTGAGGCAGATTGTGAGCCTATTTAGGGTTTGGGATACAGCTGCTAAAGGGGCATGACAAAAGCAGTCTTCTGTGCCCAAATAGCATGACAAATTGGATTCCGGTGCTCCGAAAAGTTGTCATGCGCCGCTTGGACATTGGTCTTCCAACTGGTATCCATTTTATGCATGACAAATTATTTCAACTTTGTCGATTTCCAACCTGCTGACGCTTCCATATGCGACCTGTGTCCGCGGACGAGGATTTTCGCAGTCACGAAACCACGCACGCCAAGCATTTCAGGCTGATGCTGGATCCGAACGGACTCCATGAACGTCATCTGTATCCCTGGGAGATCCAAGAAAAACTTCTCGCGGCGGAAATGGCCGCCGCGGCAGAGAAGAGGGAGGTGGTTTACCCCTGGGAGCAGCATGCGGAGGGAGAAGCGGCGGCCCCGCCGGAGGAAGTCATCTACCCGTGGGAACAGGTCGAGGCGCCCCCTGAAATAAAACCATATCCATTGCAACCACGAGTCTGGGCATGGGTACTAATGTGTGTTGTGCGTCTTGCAAGAGTAGAGCAAGTAGATCTTGAAAGTGCACAAATCTCGCTCGGACGAGGTCTTGTGGCCAGTTTTTCTGTGATGCTGTAAGTAGCGAGGAGTGGCAAGAAGAATCATGCTTGTCATTCTCTCATGCCGTCCAAAAGTCCTCTCCCTGCGGCAAGCAAAAATCACCGTACACAAAAACTTATCTGACTCGCCACCAGACGCAGACATCTTTGCAATGCACAACTCACCAGAGCAGATCCAGATTTACCCCTGGGAAGCGCAAATTCCGGAGCAGAAAGAGGAAAAAATAGTATGGGACTCTCAATTGTTACATTCTCAACTGTTACATGAATTTGTAATGCAAGAACGGCGAAAGTGAAAGGGACAAGATTGCGCCTTTTGCATTACAGATTTGGCACAGATTTACATGCTGTTTAGCCCTTCGGATATTTGTCATGCGAAGCAGCTTAATCGTGGCGATCTTGGTGGCAAATTTGCATGACAAATCATGTAACAGTTGAGAGTGTAACAGTTGAGAACGCCATAAAAAGTCGTCTACCCGTGGGAACAGATTCCGGTGCCCCCGCCCATACCTGAGGTGTATCCGTGGGAGCAGGCCGCGGTTCCGATCTACGAGAAAATTTACGAGGCTATGAACTGCAAAAGTAAGAAAGTATCGTACTCGTATAAATGCGTTACAAATTTCCTCAGCGTGAGAGCTAAAACTTGTAATGCGGATTTACCTGAACAAAACGATTTGTAATGCATGACTGCAGTATTGCGAGTGCGATACTTTTGCACAGGATAGAGGCGAACCAGCAGCAACTACAGCAGCTTGTCGAGGAGATAGACGTAGAGGCAGAGCAAATAGTACCTCCTCCCGCAGGAGCCGCGCCCGACGTAATCGAAAAATTTGGGCGGAAGGTGCTTTTCGGCGAAATCTACGAAAAAACGGCACTGCAGTACCACTGTGAGGCGGTGGACGACTTGTGCTTTAAACTCCTGTACGACATTATGCCTGCGTCAACTTACCCAAACTCAACTTACCCAAAAATTTAACTAACCACTTTAATTAGCTACTTAGAGTCCGAACCTACTATCCGGCGCCGCTCAGTCTACACTTACTAGTTGAGGTAAATAGCTATTTCGAAAAGGACGTTTTCCGGCGTGTGTAGAAGGCGCAACCTCCGCTACCAACGATCACGGATCCCCTCCCCAACGATGCTGTGTCTCATGATAAAACTCCTTCGAGTTGATGCTATCAAATCAGATTATATTGCTTTTGCATGGGGCATAGCATCGGGGAAGCAGTATACTTTTAGGCATGGACCAGGGGGATGAGTGATCCCCCTCCCCGATGCTAGGTTTTGGATTGACAAAAAATCACCCTACCAACGTGATTAGACAAAAAAGATGCCTCGGATTTTTTTCAATTCAATGGCATAAATGATAGAATATCTCAATACCTGTCGCATGCTATCACTTCGTGTATAAATCCAGCCAAGGTATGAAGCTTGTGAATGGTGTCGCAACGCGGTGGCAACGCAGCTCAGCCTCCGCGATCGTTGGCAGCGGAAGGGAATCCGTGATCGTTGGTAGCGGAGGTTGCGGGTTCTACACACGCGTGAAAACGGTCTTAATTAGCTATATGAAGTTCTATCTAGCTAACCATAGCTACTACTTTTAGGCATTACAAATCAGCATGCTTTCTAGCTATGAAAAATCGCTAATAAAGTTTTTGGGTAAGTTGAGTTTGGGTAAGTTGACGCAGTCATAGACATCCAATTATCAGAGTGCATAACGACCCCCATCCAAAAATGTTGAGAGGCATGAGCAGCAACACAAGCCACGGCAGAAATGTGGCTTCCGCATGACAAATCATTGTGCGTAGTCCTGTTTAAGGTGATTCCAAATAAATTTGCCATGCAGAAAGTGCAAAGAGGCAGCAACTGGACTTGGTATTTTGCATTACAAATGAGGCGAAGGGGGACGAGTTGTGCACTTTCATACCACTTTGACGTGTACGCCAAGGGGGTCGTGGCGGGGGACACGTTTTACCTCCGGGACGTGGCCAAGATGAAAGACCAGGAGGAAGACGATGAAGAAACCTCCAAAAGCGCTGGGGCGAAAACTAATGATGTCGTAGAAGTGGTTGATGCGTGGTACATGCGGGCGGAGGTGAATGCATTGGAGCGGAAAAGGAAGGAGAGGCTGGCGCGCAGGCACGGTGACACGGAGCAGGGTTATCGGTTTGATGAGAAACTGGATGGTAATAGAGCCGACACAAACGGCGACGACGAGGTGTCAACTGGTAATATTTTTAACCAGACGAACACCGGAGCAGCGTCCTCTCCCTCAAAGTTGACTCAACAGCCAATCAGCCCGGTCCGCTTTGATCCGAATGTGAAATCCGCCTTGATAAATGCCGGCTTGTTGGAGAACGATACACCAGCAAACGAAGCGCAAGACTCCTCGCAGCAGGTCAACCTCGGCAGTGTTGGTACGAAGCTGTTTCTCTACGATTTGCGGGCCGGGGGCGAGGTTTTTTTCACGCGGAGGCTGTGCGAACGCAGTTTGATCAAACACTTATTGAAGCACGGGAGGCAGGTGCGGCGTCGAAATACTTCTTCTACTGCAACCGTGCTCGGGAAAACCAAATCCAAAGGTGGAGCTGCAAAAAAATCATGGTCGCCGTCGCGAAGAGACCAAGTGGAGGATTATGAGCTTATCCTGGAGCGAACCCCGGTGGGAGATACGAATCGCGGGTACAAGTACAGAACGAGAGAGATTCTTCGGGATAGGAACATCGCGCAAGACGATGAAGATTCAATGATTTCTAGCAGCGAAGAAGAAAATCCGGGGATGCTGCCGGGAAGAAACCCGGCTGAATTTCTCCGTAACGATAGCGATGCAACGACCTCATCGGGTGCAGATGATTTCACGTCATTAAGCGACGAGGACGGAGATGAGAGTGAAGAGGAAATAAAGCGGCGGGCTTCGAACTCTAAGAACACAAGTCCACTAGCGGCTTCTGCGAAAGAAGACCTGCTGAAGGCGAAGCGGGGAAAGGTGGTAAAGAAAAGCAAAATTCAACTGGATTTGCGCAACAACACGGCCAACATCCGACTGCCGCCGCCCGCGATGTTGACCACCTCTTTAGCTTCGAGGAGCGGAACGAAGCAAGACCCTAACCTCGGTCGTGCGAATTCATCTTTTGGTAGTACAACTCTCAGCAACAGCACGCGCATCGCAAGTTTCCTCGCCCGCCTACCAACGACTTCCACTGCCGACGTTTTCCAATTGGAAAACTACTCCGGCTTTCTCCCCCGACACTTTGCGGACAACTTCGCTACCAGCAGGCTGGGTTATGAAAGTGCACAACTCCTCCTATCCCTCATACATTTGTATTGCATGAACAGCGATACAAGCGTCAGCAGGAATACAGATTTTGCATGACAAATTTGGACAGGAGTGTAGTCGTGGTATTTGGTCTACAAGAACTTGTCAGGCAAACAGTGCCAAGTAGAGCCAAGGCGTAAACTAGGCACTTTGCATGACAAATGAGGGAGTTGTGCACTGTCATACGGGTCTGGCGGACTTCTTCGAGATCGCGGATAAAAGAGATGATCATGCGATGGGGAGAGCGAGCGATTTCGGAAGAAGTAGATCAACACCTGGAGCCATGCAGAACAAAAGAACAAAAAGGCCAAAAGTGCACGACCGAAGGGACTTGATCACGATCAGCTTCTTTCAGCAGCACCTCCCCACTGCTCCCTCTGACTTGCTCAAGCAGAAAAACTTCGAGAACAAATATGAACTGCAAAAGTATCATACTAGCATAAAATGCATTACAGATTTTCTCCGCATGAAAAATAAAATTTGTGATGCGGATTTAATTTCAGAAACAAATTTGTAATGCATGACGTGGCCTGGGTACGCACATACGACTCGGTGCGCCAAATCGTATGTGGGGCGTTACAATTTTCGCGCTTTTTTCATTGAGAAAACCCGCCAAAAAGCAGCACCGAGCCCGGTGCGGTTTGTAATGTATGGCAGCACCGAGCCCGCCAAAAAATATCTTTTTGCTTACCTACGAAATTAGTATTGTAGCGGCGCGCCTTCACAATACATTTTGGCGCACCGAGGCGGCGCGCAAAAACTTCGTTGGGCAGCGCCCGCCTTTGAAACATTATGCGCCTTCGCTGTGTACTTGCTTCTGTCATTCCTCGCGCCCGCATGATGTACGCCCGCGCGCGCCTTTGCCCATCGCGTGCGCGACGCGCCGCGCAAGTCGGTGGCCCCAGACTAGTGTCGCACGCCTGTCCCTGGTGACGCGGGCGCCTTCGCCTGCTGTGTTTTTTATTTTGCCCTCGACGAACGCGGGCCAAGGTCCGGGCTTTGTTTTTCTACCCGCCAGCAAGGCCCGCGCGCGTGGTCTCGCGACTTAGCCGACGGGCCCCCCCCCGCCCCCCCCCCTGTGTTCGGCCCGTCTGCTGCTTCGTTCGTGACTACAAGTTGGCGTACCGAGGCCGTCGGCCTCGGTGCACCGAGGCGGCCATTCCGAAAAATTGGCATTTTTGGCCTCGGTGCGCCATTTCGTATGCCCGTCCTAAAAAAACTTCTTCTAGCCTCGGTGCGCCAATTTGTAGTGGCGTCCCGAGGCCACGACACTACCGAGGCGACGTCATGCATGATTGCAATTACTACGAGTGCGATACTTTTGCACAGGATAACAAAAAGGCGGAGACGAAATTGAGACGCATTTTGGACGTTCTGAAGGATACGCGGGAGCATATCCTGTGCAAAAGTAATATCGCACTCGTAGTAATTATTGCAGTCCTGCATATACAAAATTTTTTCTTAAGGTAAATCAACTGCATGACAGATTTTATTTCTCATGCTGAGGAAATTTGCAGTGCATTTATACGAGTACAATACAACTTTTGCAATGCATAGAGCAGTACGGGGAGCAAATGGACGAGGAGCTGGATCACGTAGCTGTTGCGGACAAGGAGCTCTTGATTCAAGCCCGCCACCAAGCGGAGGAAAACGCGATGGCGTTTATCAAGTGCAAATATGTCTGGGTCGGGAAAGGTACAGCGAATTTGTGTTGCTGGGTCTTGCATGCCAAAACTATCTCTTGTACGGCTTTCACGCATCACAAATTTTTCGGATGGAGGTACTAGTGGGAGCTCAACCGTGTTTCGCATGACAAACTGGCTTCCAACAGCACGACAAAAAAGCTGGGCCATCGCAGGCATGCATTACAGATCTTGTTGTCCTCCGAGTTTCGCATCACAAATCCAGGCCCAGACATCTTTGCAATGCATAGCGTTTATTCGCAGGCAAAATCTCGAGTACCTCGCGGCCTTGCAGGAGTCCGAAGAAAGGCTGATCAAGTATGGCGTTCTCAACTGTTACATGGATTTGTCATGCAAGAATGGGAAAAGTGAAAGGGGGGAGGTTGCGTCTGTAGCATTACAAATTCCGAACAGATTTGGGCGCTGTTTAGCCATTCGCAAATTTGTCATGCGAAGCAGCTTGATCGCGTGGATCTTGATGCTCATTTTGCATGACAAATCATGTAACAGTTGATAATGTAACGTTTGAGAACGCCATATCAAGCAAGCAGAAAAGGAAGAACGGGAACGGGAACGAAAGCAAAAAGAGCTGGAAGAGTTGCGGAGGAAGCAGGCGGAGCTTGTGTATTCGGAGCAACGACCCCACCTGGTCGACACAACGGAGCAGGCTGTGATGCTGAATCAGGACGAGAAGGAGGAAATGTTGAAGAAAAACAGACGGCTCCAGGAGCTGCAAAAGAGCGACAAGCTGTTTCCCTATCAACTGTCCTATTTGAGCAAGCTACCCGCGGACCAGCGGGCGATGTACGGGCTCGTGGAGTACAATTACGAAGTGGATAAAGAAGTAGAACCTCCTTCTCCTCCTGCTGCGCATGGTGGGGAAGAACATCATCAAGCCTCCCCACCCCCCTTCACATTAAATTTCACAGAATGCTTCCCAATAGTCACGATCGAACGCTTCAAAGACAAGGACACGGAGGAGAAGTTTTTGAAAAAGTACAAACTAGCGGTAGGCGATCTTCTACTCGCGATTTGCGGGGACAGAATCACGAACGTGGTGAAGTGGGAAGGTAACACGATCGAAGAAGCGGTGCAGAAGAAGCTCGTAGAAAAGGGGAAAAAGCAAATCATTGAAAAAAGGGAGTTGAAAGACCCAAAAGACCCAAAATCACGGACAATTACAGTGAAGAAAGAGGTAATATACGCCCCGATGGTTTTTTTACGGAAGAAGTACGCGGAAAAATTTATTTCGATCAAAGCGTGCGAGAAGGTGGACGTCATCAATTCCATGGACAAAACGACCACTTCTTATGGCGTGAAGATCCAGCGGAAGAAGGTTATGCAATGCAAAAGTCTACTACTATCGTTATCGTACAGCTACTAGAAATTGCATAACAATTTTTTTATTTTGGTAGGAAGTAGAAAAGTCGAATTTGTGATGCGGATTTAGTTTGGTAAAGATGTTTGTCATGCGCGAATGCCATTTCTATGAGTGCTCCTGCGTTAGTAGTACTTTTGCAAAGGATAAAAGTCCGGGCGGTGCAGAAGAACAACTGGTTTGACAAAAGAGGTCTCGTTATCTATCCATCGTAAAAACGCCCCCACCTCCCCAGAGTCAAGATGGGAATCCTGCAACACAGATCCAGAAGTTTTGGGAGTCACGCATGACAAGTTTTTCTCTGTTGTACTGTAACGCGGGTTAGCAAGGACAGCCGCATCACAAAGCCATCCTGGTATTCTGTTTCCAGCATCACAACTTGCATAAGACGATAAATTTGCCGCTCTCTCGTGGGGACGCGCATTACAAGTTTTCCTGTGATTGTGAATTTTGCATGACAAGAACTCTGGGGTGGGGACGTCGACGTCTTTACACAGGATATTATCGGAGATGAAATCATGGGCATCGACGAGAATTTTTCCGGCATATCAAATGCAAATATGTCTGGGTCTGGAAACTTGTGATGCTAAAATGTGCATGATGGAAACACTTCCGAATGCAGACCAGGATGACAACTTTCCGGAGCACTTTCTCATAGGGAGCCGCACACATTTTTGCATGACAAAAATGGGTGCGGCTTTTGTCGGTTATGCAATACAGATTTCCCAGGAATGTAAAGCTAGCATTACAAGTTCCAACTTTCCAGACCCAGACATTTTTGCATTTGATACGGCACGAAGATCGATGACTTTTTCAAGGAAAAACTGGAAAAGTACCGGGGGAAGGTGAAGTGCTTTTTGATTGCGAGGTTATCAAAAGTAAAAATGTCTGGGTCTGGAAACTTGTGATGCTGGGTGGCGTCTCATGATGAGGCTACAGATGCTGGCTCAGCATGGCAAGTTTCTGAGCTCCTAGGTGTTGCCTATTCTGCATGACAAACTGCGCTTCTGCATCACAGAAAAACGGATTTCTTGGGTAACGTGCATGACAGATTTAAGAGTCATGCCAGACAAGCATGACAAACATGAATTCTTCCAGACCCAGACATTTTTACAGTTGATAGAGGTCGAAGGGAAGTGATTTTTTCCAGACGGGGACGAGCAAATTTGCGGTGGATGTCAGTTATGCTCTGCAAAAGTATCTTACTCGTATCAATTGCATCCATGCATGACAAACATCTTTCCCAACCTGAATCAGCATTACAAATTCCACTTGATGTGTTCTGGGCAAAACTTGTAAATGCACTCTATACTAGCGCGATACTTTATTCCCTTTTGCGATGCATATCAGTCGCCCGCTGCCGGAAAAATGGCTGGAGAAGGCACTGGCGAAGCCGGTGATCGGAGACGTTGGGAAGGAAGATAGTACCGCAGCAGGCAACATCAAAGACGGAGGTGCTAGTACTGCAGTTCTTCCCATTGGTGGCGCAGCGACAGCGACCAATGCTGCTGGCGCCGGGGGAACTACAGGGGGCGCCGACGGAGATGCGAATGCAAAACAGGATACGAAACAAAATCCTGCTGCAACTACCGCTGGGCCACCACCTGCTGTCCTCCCAGATTTCAACATCAACCCTGCGGCTGCTGCGGCGAAAGCAGCCAAAGCAGGGAAAGCTTCTTCAAAAAAGGCTGGTACGACGAAAATAAGGAAGTCCCCCACTATATCAAATGTAAAAATGTCTGGGTCTGGAAGATTCTGAGACTTGCGATGCAAGTTTTGCATGACCCATGATGTCTGTGATGCATGCCCTAGCATCAGAGATTTTTTGCGACCTTCTTGATGCCTATTCCGCATGGCAAATGCCCTCTTCCCGTAGCAAAAATTATACTCCGTTTGCTGCTCATGCAACACAAATTAATTTTTTAGACATCCAAATGCAGCATCAGAAGTTGCATTCTTCCAGACCCAGACACTTTTGCATTTGATATACTACAGGTGGTTCCACTTCTCCGAAGTCCAAGTCGAGACCAAGAAGGAAAGCGATAGCAAATGCAAAAATGTATGGGTCTGGAAGGATGCGAACTTGTGATGCATACTTGGATCACACAAAAATCTGTCATGCTTAGACAGCAAAGGGAGCTCCTTTTCCTGTCGGCGAGAGAAGGCGTTTGTCATGCGGATTAAGCAATGGGAAACCGTCTCCAAACCTGTGATGCTAGGCCTTGCATGGCACACCTTCCGTGTCAAGCAGACACAGCATCACAAACCTCAGCAATCTTCCAGACCCAGACACTTTTGCATTTGATAAACGACCAGTGCAGGCGACTCTCCTGCTTCTCCCAGATCCCCCTCCACTTCTTCCCCGGCGAAAAAGAAAAAAAGTCCAGGTAGTAGTACTAGCGGGAAAAAGAAAATCAAGATGAAAGCCGGAGACGCAGCAGGAGTATCGGCCGCCCCTGCAGGTCCTCCGGTTAATACTGCGAAAGCTGCCGCGCTGTTCTTTCCAGAGTATAATGAATCTGCGGCCGACGACGGAGAGGGTGCGGAACAAGACGTAGTGCCGTACTTCGGAGGTACAGGTACAGCTACAGGAGGAGGAGCGCCGCATCTTGCTGATAGTACAGCAGGCTTAGTGGATGGAGCTACAACTGCTGCCCCGACCAACGTCGTGTCGCTCGGTACAACACATGATGGTAGAAGTACTACAGCTGGCATCGGGCAGCCAGATTTCGCAGTTCCGACCTTCGGCGTCAGTACCGCAGGATCAACCTTCCAATCTGAATCCGCACTAGTTGTACCCCCCATCGTGGACAACGAAACTAATCTTCCTCCCCAGGTGGAGATGAACTACACCCTCGCCGGCTCTTATGGAGAGAAAAAAGTTTGTCACAGTCACTAACTTGCAGGTTTTGCATTACAAATTTTCACAGCATCACAAACTTTCCTTGTATTGCAGAAACACTAGGGAAATCCCTAATAAAATTTGGCTGTGATGCATTTTTACGCATGACAAACAATTTTGTATTGCAAGAATGCGCATTAGTGATCGTGACGAACTTTTTTTCTTGGATAGCTCTGTGTCGAACGCCATAGACCTCCGCCAGCGGCTGCAAAGGCAACCAGCTGGAGGCCCCGGGCTACTTCAGGAGAGGTACGACGAGGGGACAGCGGAAGAGCTGAATTTGGGTGTGGCTGCGGCCGGATATGATGGTTACAACAACCTGCCCCCGACAACCGGTGTAGCTGGAGTACCCCCTGCTATAGTCGCCGCGCCAACTACTGCAGCTATGAATTATTCGGCCGCGGGCGACCAATTGAGCGATCCTTCGTTGTTGATGCTGGCTCAACAGGAGGCGGGCATGGGAGTTGTAAAAGCAGGGGGAAATACTCCTTTGGAACAAGGACTACAACAGTATCAGCAATTTTACGCTGCTGGTGCAGCTGCTCCCGCAACACTTTATGGTAACTACACAACAACCGACGCGCAGACAGCACCACCGGGCGCCGCCGCGCTGGACCACAATGATCAGGACGGAAACTATGCCTACCAGTATGTTGACCCAGGAACAAATATTAACCTCGTCCCGGCATCAGCAGGAGGTGCAGTAACTAACCCAGCGTGGGCCCAGTACAACAACAACCAAAAGCCCGATCCGGTAGAACATTTGACCATTCTAAACGACGAGTTGGAGTTGAATCTCATTCCTGCCCAGCTCCCACAAGACGAACTACTACTGGAAAAGAAGTACGAGCAGAAGCAGCAGCTCCTCTACGACTTGATGTTGTTGAAGAGTGCGACGAATGGGTTCTTAACGGAGGCGAGGTTTCTGAATCTGCAGTACCGCCGGAAAATGCTATCGGTTTTGAAAGAAGAGGAAGATGCCATGATGGGAATCGTTTTGAATGCGAACAAGAAATTTAAGCTTTACGAGCGGGAGCGGGAAGAGGAGATAGAAAAGGAAAAGCTGAAATTGGAGGAGCAATTGCTGCAAGAGAAGACAAAATTGGAACTGCTTTTGAAGGAAAGGACTGATATTGAGGAGAAAAGGCACAGGGCGGGGGAAGAGAACCTCGGCGATAGTTCATTGGGGCGAGGTTCCAATAACAAAAACAATTCAAATTCGGAAGTCTTAAGAACGAGGCAACAAGAGGAGGAAAATGCGAATCTGGATTCCGAACTGAAAGAGGAGTTTGAAAGAGTGAAGCAGGAGCAGGAAGCGATTTCACAGGTGGAGCAGAAATATCCACTGCAAAAGTAACTCACTAGTAGGTAGAAATCGGAATCGCATCACAAATCAAAAATTTTTTGAGTGGCATGACAAATCAATGGAATTTGTAATGCTGCTTAGCGCACAAAGATGAATCAGTCCTGCATGACTGCCATCACAACTACCAGCGCGGAGGCGGAGGCGCTTTTGCAATGCATGAGAAGATTCGGGAACGAATCTTCAGCTTGTCGGAGCAGCAGATAGAATTACTTGGGAAGGAGAAAGCGTTGGGAGATAAAGTTCCGACCAATATCATCCCACCTCGAAACGCCAAGACCGGAGCAACCGCTTCTGGCGGTGCGGGGGAAGATGAGGATGACCGGGAAGTGGATGGTGAACGTAGTGCGTTTGGTTCACCTCGCTCCCGCTCCCCAACGTCACGGTTAATATGGATTGCAAATTATATAATGTCTGGGTCTGGAAACTTGTAATGCTAAAAGTGAATCATGGTAGACGCACCACGAAGGAAGATACGCAGCTGCGCATGACAAATTTTCTGGCTGCCATGTCTTACGTAAATCGCATGGCAAGCTGCGTTTTTGCACGACAGGTAAGAAGGCTTTTGCGTGCCTATGCAACACAGATTCTCGAGTCATGCCAGACAAGCATGACAAACTTGCATTCTTCCAGACCCAGACATTTTTGCATTTGATAGTTAAAATCGTTCCACCAATCTGGTATCGGCACGACCAATGACGATGAGATCGCGTATTGGGTGAAAAAGGCCCGGGAAAGGTTTCCGCTTCTTCTCTACGGTGCGGGGAAGCGGACGGAGCTGTCGACCGGAGGACTGCATCGGGGAGGGAAAAACAAAAAGCGTCTTGGTGTTGCTCATGATGCTGGAAACGCGACGCAAGAACGCGTCGCTTCAATGCTGGCGTTCAAGGATAGTCCGCGGTATGTGGACAAAAATCACAGGATCTGGAAAGAGATAAACGAGTAGTAGAACGAAGCCTCCTGCTGCTGCCTGACCAGGCCCTAGTTGTTAATTGTGCATTTTTTGCACGTTGTTGTAGAGGCGGCCTCATCGACCACAACATGTTGCCCGTAGTTCATCCTACTATAGAAAAAGACACAGTTCTGCGAATTTTGTTTGTTGGTAAAAACAACTACCAAGCAGATCAATATTTTCAAGTTCGTCCTCCCTGTGTGTCGCGATGTGGGGCGGCGCGGTGATGTTCTTGTTGCTTGCTGGTTGACACACAGACAGATCGTGTTCGTGGACGCTCAGAGTTTGATTTTGCATAGTATGTAGTGAGGTCACCGAACGGTTCTAGCCAGGGAGTTTTTTTGCCACCTACCGTGAAAAACGACCGGCAGTTTTCAAGCGGCCGGAAGCGTTTTTTGACATAAAATAAAAATTTTCAATTATCAAGCGGGCGGGGCTTTGCCATCAAACAAGCCCGGTCGAAAACTATCGACTCGCACTTGATAAAACGACGCAGGGGAGCCAGCAAAAGGGGCGCCCTTCTGAGGCACCCACCGCCTTGGCTTCTGGCGATTTGGGGCGGTCAAAAAGGGGCGCGCAAAAAACGCGCCCAAAATCAGAACAGCGAAACAGCATGGCATGGCCGCGATTTCGGAGCATTTTGGGCGGCCGCGAAAGCGGCCGCCTTTTCGCCGGTTTCAGAGCCTGGGAAGCTTTGCAAAAAGCGCCGGCGTGAAAAATAAAAACGCGAAAAAGAAAAAGCGCCCCCGACGCGCAAAGCCAATCCGCATGCTATGGGCCCGATTTTTCTTCGCTTTTTGGGCGCCCCCCGTGGCAACCGGATCGGCCCCATAGCATGGGGGCTGGCTTTCGGAAAGGAATTCCAGGGATTTGCTAAAATTTGCGACGTTTATCGAGCGGCCGCCATACCGTGCGGCCTAACGTTACTCACGCCGGTATGGCGAGCCCAGAAAAAGCAAAGCCGCGGCCAAGGCGGCGGCCGGCAAGAAAACGCCCACGACCTCACTACCTCCGCCCCGGCGGCTATATTTGGTGCCGTAAACTTAAAGAGAGAGCTCCACTTCTATAAGTGAAAAAAAGAATTCTCAACGCAAAAAAAAAATTTTACTGACGATCATCGAAGCAAGTGCAAGACCGAAAGATGAGCCCCAGACACTCACACTGGTGAAAAGATCCCATGACTCATTGACTGTTTTTTTCTTCCGATCAAAGGCGATTTGCGATGAACGTTGACTTTTTAAGAACCTCATCCGTCGCGACGAGCTTCTCTTTTATTTCACCACCTCTTGTACTGCTGCTGTGGTAGTTCTCGGAAAATAAATCCACCGCGGCACTAAAAATCCGCGGCGCTATAATTTGTGATGCGAGTACATGTGATGTTGTACGTAGAAGTCCAAGTCCAAGCCCTACCCTCATCTTGGAATATCTTGGTTCTTGATCATCTTGATGATCATTTCTACCGTCGAACTCGAAGGAACTTTGAGTCAAACTTTAGTATTAGTTTGAAGTTCTAGAAGGTGAGTTCTCTTGCTGTTGTGGTACAACTACTGCTACATACGTAGCGGCCCCCGTAGAAGTTGGATACAAATACAAGAAGTGGCAGTGTGTTTCTCTTTAGATCTTGATCAACAGCGGCAGTACAATAAGCAAGGCGCGCGTCTTCAACAACTACACGAAAAATCATGCAAGAGCACGAAATCGATATCGAACGACCGGTCGAGTCCAAGAAACCTTCTGGTGCAGAAGGAGCTCCTCCAGACAAAGAGCTACATCTTATCAAGTGCAAATATGTCTTTGATCCTCGTTCTGTGATGCTGAGTGAAGCTGAATGGTCATAACCTAGAACAGCCTTGTAGTTCCTAGTGCAGCTTGTTCAAGCATGGCAAATATAGCGTCTCGGACTCGCTTTCTCATGCATAGCGGGCACTACAAACTGCGTTCTTTTGGCATGACGCAAACAAAAAAGGTCGCGCTTTTATTTTTCATGATCATGCAAGAACGCAAGAAAATTCAAATTGACACGAATGCAAGACCTTTGTGAAGAGCACTCATTTGGTGGTTTTTCCTCGTCTTACATCTGTTTTTTAGACGACAGTGAGGTTTAACTGAAGTGGGGCTCCTCGACAAGGGCATGATTTTGTGCTGTTGTTCCGCGCACTGGATAGTTTAAACCTAAGAACTTGAGTGACTGCTCAAAAATCAAAATGCTTTTTCAAAAATCGAAATCAGAACAAAAAAGCGCATGACAGAAATGAAAAAATTGGCGTCGTGTATGATCCATTGATTCTCATCAGGTCTCGAGAAGCATGTATGTCAAGATCTTGTATTTTTAAAGTCACCAAATAGAAATTTCAACGAAGAGTCAAGAGGTTGTAGCTTCTTCAATTACAACACGAATGCATAGCAGCACGACAAGCATAGCACAAGTTTGACACAACTTTTCCAGATCTAGTACTTCGCTTCGAAGACATATTTGCTCCTGTGGATACATCAGCTGAAGCAACATGCCCCAAGTGAGGGTACCGAAAATACATGCAACAAGGCCGCAAAGGACGAACAGCAAGTAGATCAACAACATCTTCCAGAAGTTACAACAGCTTCATCTTCTAAAGATTCCTCTTCTGCGCAGGAAACAGTGCTAACGGAGGAACTAAACCTCAGTGCTAGCGTCGCTGCAAAGGATAAGGAAACCGAAACAGAAGAAACAACTACTAAAAATACAACTAGCGACACAATCTTGTTGGGAACAGATAAAAACAGCAACACGGTGGACAATAAGACCTGCGAAACATTAAAAATGAGCAGTGAAGAGGCCAAGGAACAGGAGCCGGAGGTTGCCTCCACGACCGCTAAGCGCCCCAAGACCGAAGATGATTTTGGTGAAGAGAAACCGGTAGAAATGCAGGGTGACGAAGCCAACGGCGAGGACGACATCCCCGCCGCCAAGCGGCCCAAGACGACCGATCTTGCTCAACCGAAAAGCAAGGCGGCAGCGCTATGAACTGCGAAAGTATCGTGCTCGTATAAATGCATTACAAATTTCCTCAGCATGAGAGATAAAATCTGTAATGCGAATTTACCTTAAGATATAAGATTTGTAATGCATGATAGCGAGTACAACTTTTGCACAGGATAAGCGCCACGAGTTTTCAACTTCTCGATTAAAACCGAAGATGGGGACGCGGTAGGACTTATCAACATGAAAGATCCCCCCTATCGCCCATATCAAAACGGAAATTTGTGATGCTGATTTGTGGTTACAAATCATCTTTGTCTTGCATATAGGCTCATAGGAGCCATTTGACGCATTCATCCAGAGCAAGTCTGTCATGCGCTTGCGACTTATGCAAACCTGTTTGCCATGCGCAAGTGCTAGCCTTCTGCATAGTACCCAGACAGGCTCAGAAAATGCCGCCAAGCACTTTCTGCAAGACAGATCTGATCTGTGTACGCAAATCCAGCATCAGAAACTTCGTTTCGATATGGGGCAGGGGGATGTTTCCTCTCAATAGGACTAGTAACAGAAGCCGCCGCTGAGGATCCGAATGAAGAGGAGAATGGGTCCTCGTTGCTAGGTGGACCAAACATCACGAAGGCGAAGTATCAAATGCAAAAATGTCTGGGTCTGGGAGGATGGAACTTGTCATGCTGTCTTTGGATTCGAAAAAAAATTGCATTGCGTAAGGAGCAAGAGGAGTCCAGTTTATGCTACGCGGAGAGGGTATTCGTATTCCTCATGCGGTATAGGCATCAGGAAGCCCTCGCAAAATCTAAATCTCTGATGCTAGGTCATGCACATTTTGCATGGACGGTCCATGCAAAATGTACATGACAAGTGCTTCGTCGATCGATTGTGCCACTAGGGCCTAGGGCCTTGTGTTCTGGCTACTCCGGATCGCAATCGATGGAGGGCGGGACCTGCACCGGCGACAGGCGCTATCCAACCAACCAAGTGTTCCAATCTTCCAGACCCAGACATTTTTGCATTTGATACGAAGGACACTACTACCAGTTCCATGGACCTGGAGGAGGAGCAAAAGGTATGTGTTTTTAACGTGTATAATCGAAATCGTACCATTGTTATTGTACTAAAACTGCGGATCATGGTGCGCATGCGGTACAACTACTTCTTGTTGTTTTCGACCTCTAGGATCGCGAACGAATGCAGCTGCACGCGAGTGCTGGTAGTTTGAGTCGGTACTAGATTATATGAAGATCCACCGAGTTGTTGTACTAAAAGAAGCAGTAACAGTCTAGATGATAGTACAACATGATGCAAAATGAATATCTAAAACTGAATCTTCGATCGTAGTTTCAACATACTAGAAGTACAAAAACTCTCACATAACAGTCCCAGATGGAGCAATTGATTTTGCAGAACCAGCAACTCTATCCTGTGCAAAAGTATCGTACTAGTATGAATTGCATATACAAAAAATTGACTTGGCATTACAAATCGACTTTGTCATGCGGATTTGCCTATAACAAAAAGATTTGTAATGCATAAAGGCAATTAGTACGAGTGCGATACTTTTGCACAGGATAAACTCGCAATGGCCAACATGAACATGCAGATGATGATGAACAACAATCCTATGGGTATGATGATGAACAGCGGGGGCATGAACATGGGTGGCATGGTATCCTGAGTAAAAACGTCCCCACCCCATATTCAAGTTGGTTAATCTGCAACACAAATCTCCAAGTTTTGAGAGTTATGCATGACAAGTATCCATCTGTTGTGTAACGCTGTTTAGCAAGGACAGCCGCATCACAAAGACGCCTGCTCATCCTGTTTACAGCACTACAAACCCCAGAACACGAGCGACTACAAATTCCTCTCTTGCGGATGTGCATTGCAGATTTTTCTGTAGATGCCAATCTGCATAACAACTATGGGGCGGGGACGTTTTTAAATAGGATAGATGGGTGGCATGATGGGCGGCGGAGGCCAGGGGAAAGGATATGAGAGTGCTCAATTTTTACTTCGTCCCCTCGCTCTCATTTGTAGTTCTCATGCAAAATTTATATACCAACTACTCCACACTTTGTCATGCAACATCGGCATTCTTGCCGACGCTTGCACTATCGCTGTTTGTGCAAAAATTGAAATGAGGGGGAGCAGGCGGGGGAGTTGAAAAAGATGTGCACTCTCATAAGGTTAAGGGAGGTGGGTTTAATAACAACAAGGGTAAAAACAATTATGGCGGTGGTTGGAACAACGGCAACGACTGGAATAACAACAATTGGGGGAACAACAATTGGGGAAACATATGCTGTGCAAAAGTATCGCACTCGTAGTAATTGCTATCGTGCATGACAAATATCGCTTTTTTTGGAAAAATAGCATGACAAATTGCATTTTTCTCCTTGAAAAAATTTGTGATGCAATTTATACGAGTGCGATGCTTTTGCAATGCATACAACAACAATTGGGGCAACAATAATTGGGGAAACAACAACTTCAAAGGAGGCAAGGGAAAAGGTGGTCAAGACATGTCAGACAACCCAGCAGTGTTGGAGTCCATGAGTCACCCGATCAACCAAAATCCCCCAGCAAACCGGTCGAACGGCATCGTCAATATGAAGTGTGCGAAAAGATGGGGTATAAATGGACTATACTGTTCTTGTTATGCAAGACAAATTTCCCGTACATGTACAACATGCATCACAAATTTCATCAATTTGGAGCGTAAAACCTGTCATGCTAAACTAGTATCGAAGCTAAGTTCTGTCATGCAGAGACCGCATCTGTACTTGTACGGGAAATTTACTGTGGATACTTGTAGACTTAGATGTGAGTAGTTGTGTCTGTGTGAACAGAGTGATGCTCAGTTTTAGTTGCGGTCGACACTGTGGCTGTTGTACATCCAGCGGTGTTTGCTGATTCTGAAAATGACTTGCACATCAAAAATAAGAAAAACGAAAACCACCCAGATGGATTACAGAATGATGTAAATATACGAATTTCTAAATTTTCTACCCCTCCCACAGAGCGTCCGGATTCCAAGCCGGAGAATGTACTGCTATATGCATTGCAAAAGTATCGTACTCGTATAAATGCATTACAAATTTCCTCAGCATGAAAAATGAAATTTGTAATGCTGATTTGCCTTGAGAGACAGATTTGTAATGCATGACTGCAAGTACTACGAATACGATACTTTTGCACAGGATATGCTACCAATGGATGCGAAGAGCCGGTTCGATGTGGCGATGCAGGGAAACCCGATATGACTTGTAAAAATGTCTGGGTCTGGAAGAATGCGACTTGTCATGCTGTTTTTGGACTCTATAAAAAATTGTATTGCACGACCAGCAAGAGGGGTCCGGTTTGTCCTACACGGACAAAGCATTTCTCATGCGGAAGGTGCATCAGTAAGCCCTTTAAGAGTCTATGATGCTTGGCCATGCATTACAGGCATCCTGGATCATGAGAAATCTGCATGACAAATCTTGCACTCTTCCAGACCCAGACATTTTTGCATTGGATACCCGAACTTGGGGTCTTACTCGGTCAAGATCGTGCCGAACATTCGGCATCCGGTATCATATGTAAAAACGTCCCCAGCACGAGCTTATAAATCAAGTTGGGAACTTAGCAACACAAATCCAGAAGTTTTGGGATCCACGCATGACAACTTGCAGTCCGTAGTGTAGTCGTGTTTGCTAGCAAGAACAACCGCATCACAAATCCAACCGCTCATCCTGTTAGCAGCATTACAAATGCCACAATACGATTGGAAATGCCTCCCTCGTTGGGGAAGATGCGCATTGCAAATGTTCCTGTAATCGCAAATCTGCATGACAACTCTGGGGTCGACGTGGGGACGTTTTTACACAGGATAACCGACGAGACGACCGGAAATCATCTGCTTCTTCTGTCCCGTCTTCAAACAGCCGAAGGGCATATCAAATGCAAAAATGTCTGGGTCTGGAAGATTCTAAGCTTGTGATGCTGTCTCTGGATTCTAAAAAAATTTGTGTTGCATGACCAGCGAGACCGAGAGGAATCCCGTTTGCGCTACGTGGAGAGGGCCTTTCTCATGCGGTAGAGGTAATTATAGCACAAAGCCCTTCAAAAATCTGTGATGCTAGGGCATGCATCACAGACATCATGCGCCATTCAAAATATGCATGACAATCTTCCAGACCCAGACATATTTGCATTTGACAGGGCAAGGGCAAGAACAAGTACGGAAAGGCTGCTCCGATGGAGGGACATCCGGATTTCAAGTACATTGGCGACAATATCGACTTATCCTGTGCAAAAGTATCGTACTCGTAGTAATCGCAATCATGCATTACAAATCTATATCCCAAGGCAAAACAGCATGACAAATTCCATTTGTCATGCTGAGCTAATTTGTGTTGCAATGACTACTAGTACGATACTTTTGCAGTTCATACGACTCGGTACGTACATAGTACGAATTGCTATCGACTACTTATTTGATCGCGTTGTAGAAGATGAGGAGATGTTTTTATGATACATAAAGTGGTCGTGTGCTGATCGATGTTGAATTATCGTTCCTGAATTGAAGTATAATATGCAGATCAACAGCACTTGACCATTTCTTCATCCCCACTGCTCTACTTCAAAACTCCTACTAGAACATCAACCCATCGTGAAAATACAATTTTATCAGTTCACCGAATCGCTGGACGAGTACATGTACAACCCGTTGGGTGGCGGTGTGGCCAGTTCTTTTTCGATATCCTGAGGAAAAACGTCCCCAACCCAGAGTTGTCATGCAGAAACGCAATCACAGGAAAGCTTGTAATCCGCATCTCCATATTAAAAGGCATTTTCGGTGATGTTCTGGAATTTGTGATGCTGGAAACAGGATACGAGGATAGCTTTGTGATGCGGCTGTCCACCTTGAGCTTGATTGTAACCCCCATTACAATACGAATACGGAAAAATATTAAAACTTGTCATGCGTGACTCGGAAAATCTCTGGGCTTGTGTTGCAGACGAGTTCCCAAGAACCTGACTATGGGTATTTCGGGACGTTTTCACTCAGGATATTCGAAGGACTTTATCCAGACGGAAGAGCAGTACTCGGAGTGCCGCGGGCAGTATCCAAGAAGAAAAAAAGATTGTAGTTGTAACTTTTTTGGTCAGCCAGCATTACAAATCTGTCTGGCAGTGACAGCAAAGTAGTAAAGCTGTCATGCGTGACAGCATTACAAATCTGTCTGGCAGATAGCACGTGCTGTTGAAAATGAAAACGTATGCGCATTTTTGACTCTACAAAGCATTGACCCTACTTAGCATGACAGACGCAACCATCTTACATGTCGCGCATCACAAACTTCTTGCACCTACAATTTTTTTTTTGTTGGATAGGCAGCTGCACATGCGGGAAACTTCGCTGAACGATGAGTCTTTCGAGAAACTCATTGACTTTTTCCTGCTGAAGAAGATCGAGGTATTTTTTTGACTAATTTTTTTAAGCTTTTGAAGTCTCTTTCGATTTACTTATCGATTTTTGAACAACAAACGGAAACGGGACACTTACCGAACTCCACGTTTATCGTTGTTTATCGTAGAGAACAAAAAATTGGAGCGGCGGGGGGAGGTGTGCAACTTGTGCTTCTTCTGTGTCTCGATGATAAGAGAAGTTGACCCGCCTCGCGGCCGATAATCGACGCTGCCCTTTTGAAGTTGTGCACAACAAGTTGTTGGGCGGAAGAATCAATCAATGATAAGTAGCGCGAGAAAAGAAGGAATATTTTAATCCCAGATCTCCGTGTGGCGCATCGACGGGAACTTGTTGACGACCCTGGATCCGTTGATTAAGTACATCAAGCAGTGGAAGGTGATGTTCCCCGATCAAGAGATGAAGTTTCACGAGGTCCACTGCCACGACAATTACATCACGAGGAAAGGAGTCATCGACTTTATCACGGTCCTGCTCGAAGAGTTCAAGGTAGCACTATCAAATGCAAAAATGTCTGGGTCTGGAAACTTGTAATGCTGTGTTGGAAATAGTGAATGCTCTGTAATGCACAGCCAAGCATCAGAAATATCTGCACTTCTTTGTGTTGCGTTTTTCGCATGAGAAACTGAGTTTTTGCATGACAGGCAACGCGGTTTCTTCTTGGACACGCATCACAAGCTTTTTTGTCATGCCAGACAAGCATGACAAATCTCGCAATCTTCCAGACCCAGACACTTTTGCATTTGATAAGCACCGGCGCGGGACGACTGGCGCTACCAACACTGCATGAAATTCCGCCCCCTGTGGATTGATATCCTTTGCAAAAGTATCCTACTCGTATTGCAGTCATGCATTACAAACCATCTTCCTAAGGCAAATCAACATTACAGATTTTATTTCTCATGCTGAGGAAATTTGTAATGCATTTATACGAGTGCGATAGGATACTTTTGCAATGCATAATTGACACGGACCGGGTGCCCATCTGGCTCCGCATGGGAGACAACACTTGCAGCCGGAATGAACCGGAGCAGACTGTGCTGGAAATCGATGCTCTGCACGAACAATTTTCGGACCCGACTACGTCAGCAGAAGCCATCTGCTACGGTAAGGAAATCTAATTTAATGAGCTTTCTCCATTGTCAGCACGACCGCGACAAGGTGTTCTTTTTGTCTGCGACAGCGTATGATCATGATCAGCATATCATGGTTTCGTTCTGCACAACATCCACACTCACTGAAATTTTCCGAAATGAGTTTGCGTATAACAAAGATTTTCACTTTCGAAACTTTCGAAAAACAAAAATGATCATCTACTCAGTGGGCTGCGAGGAGTGTACCCACCTGTGCTGCCGGAAGTTTTCCGAAAACATTTCGCCCATCGTATCGAAAGGAAAAATCCCCCCTCCCCATATCGAAAACGAAATTTGTGATGCTGTATTTGAGGTCACAAATCGACTTGTCATGCTAGAAGGCCAAGAGCCGCAGTCGTGGCCTCGTTTGCAGGCAATTTGTCATGCTGTTTCCCGCTCTCAGCTGCCTCCTATCATGCTGAAGATGCAAGGCTTGACCACGGCACCCAGCACTACAGTCCGCATCTTTTCCCGTGTAGCATGACAAAGCTGATTTGTGACAACAAATCTGCGTCACAGATTTCCGTTTTGATATGGGGAGGGGGGATTTTTCCTTTTGATACATCGTGCACATCAACGGATTGACGACGCGTCCCCCGCCGAGCTGGCAGTAAATCATTCGAGGAATGTTGCGGTGGCGAAATATTAAAGGGAAGGTCTTTCATCTTCATCTACGGTGGTCGCAAAAATAATGACTTGAGTAACCAAATGTACGGACGACACGGAGGTAGAAGTTGCTAGTGGTGGTGGGCGGGGAATAAAGCAGTTGTAGTAAAAGCAGTTCTAGTAGTTCGAGCGACCGCCTCTGCAGCCGCGGGTATTTTTAAAATCACGACGAATTTTCTTAACAAAACAGCGTCAAGAATAAACCGAATTTCATCTTCGTAAGGTGCACGTTTCTTGTTCGAGAAAGGAGAAAGACGTCAGGAGTCAGACAACTACCTCGAGAGGACAAGAAGAGGAGGCAGCGGAAGGAGTTTCTTGTCGAGGAGAAAGTTGGCGGACGACCAGCAGGAACAATTATATCGGAGGTTCTGCCTATGCTTGTGCAACATTGGAATAAAGTTAAAGCGGTCTTGTGCCTGCTTCGTGAATTTTTTTCTGCGACAATATGATAAACTCGAGGATGAAGTAGAAGATATCGATTACAGTGGCCAACTCAACAGCTGTTGTGAGTACCTGTACGGTGATGCGGATCATGTACGCATCTTCGAAAGACGTACTTCAATCGCAGCGTCACCAGAATGTAAGCTTCACTGGTCTACTACTTCTTCTATTCTATTTCCACGTCTTAAAGCATGAACTTCATGCCTGAGCACAACAGAGTGTATTTTTTGTGTGTGCTTCACCTACAGCTGTCGGTGTTCATGATTTTTCTTGCTGATGAAGACTGAAAAAACTGGCGCTGGAAACAAAGCTCCTCGTGCTTCGCAATAACTGGAAAAGGATAAGACCATGACGAGGATCATGAACGTCTCCGAGGATGGTAAAACAAGGAATCAAGTTGAGGTCATGGAATCAAGTTAGACCTGGAGTCAGGTTATATGGAATCACGTTAAACCCGGAATCAAGTTACATGGAATCAAGTTACTACCTGGAATCAAGTGGTGGAATGGAATCAAGTAAACCACCACAACTTCATCCCCACCAGTCCTTCGCCTCGCAATGCCTCCCCTTGGAAGAATCTATCTGCTGCGCTTTTTGTGTTTTGTGGCTGCCACACCCTCGCGCCTAAAGCTCTCCGCTACTTTTTTTGAAAGGCGGCCACGTTCATCAAAGGTGTCTGGCTTTTCTTCCTCTGGTCGATAGAGACGTGGCGAGAAATGTTATAGCTAACCTTCGCGCGCCCGTCTTGTTTTAGGGCTCTTTGCCGAAAGTTTTCCAGGCTTTCGCCTTGCGAAGTTCCAGGGAGGGATTCCATTTGTGTCTCCTTCCCTCGGAAGGGGTGTGTCTCTGGGAATTCCGTCTTCATTTCGCCTTCCCTCGGAAGATCCATCCGTCCCTCTCGGAGTTACATTCCCGCTTCGCCTCCTCTCGGGAGACCCATTGCTCATGGGATTCCGTTTCCATTTCGCCTTCCTGGGGATGGTGTCAGTCTCGGGGGATTCCGTTTTGCCTTCCTGCGGAAGGTGTCTCGGGGGCCGCCATTTCGCCTTCCTTGCCCTCTGGTAGGTCTCTCCCTGGCGGAAGGACCGCTGCTTGATTGCCTCTTGGGGGAGTGTGAGTTGTTTATTTCCTGGCTGGCGCGAAGCTTTCGCCATCGACTCCAGATTGATGAATGGCCCGAGCTTATTGACACCTCCTGCGCGACGTGGGTGGTTCGGGGTTTTTCTGTGCCCGGGCTCGCCGAGGCGTTTTGGATTCGGCTTCGGAGCGCGCAGGTTTGCGGCTGTCCGGGGCTGTGCGCGTGTGCTTACAGCTTTTGCGCCGGGGGCCCCGGGTTTTTTCTTTTGTGTCCCGGGGCCTCGTCACATCTACGCCCCGGGGCCCCGGAACATGCATGGCCCGTCGGAAGGCAGGCCAGCCTTCGGTAAAGGTAGGAAGGCGGGGGGGCCGAAGCACAGGCTGGCGCGTGCATGGTGAATAACGTTTGGCGGTGGAGGAGATAACGGGGCCCGCGCCGTGCTTTTCGCGGAAACGGGAAACGGGACACGCAACTTGATTCCAGGACCCAACCTGAATCCAGTCAACTTGATTCCAGGGTCCAACTTGATTCCATTTAACTTGATTCCAGTTACCAACTTGATTTCAACAATTTGACCAACTTGATTCCTTGGACGTCCAAAGCTCCTCGTGCTTCGCCAACTTGGAAACAAAGCTCCTCGTGCTTCGCAATAACTGGAAAAGGATAAGACCATGACGAGGATCATGCACGCCTCCGAGGATCAACGTGAAAAAAGAATCTTAGCCCCAGATGGCTTGGGCAGGCCTGCAAAGATCTCTGAACTGTTTTTTTCTACTAATTGGTTTAACAGGCGATTTTTTGCCGCGATGAACCTTTTTGCCGTAAAGTGCTAGATCCTGTTTGAGGACTACGAGACACCTAGATTTTACGTCGACGAGTACCGTTTGTCAACATGATTTTGCCGCACAACTCTATATGTTTCTTCAGTGCCTAGGAAGTCTACCATCGACCATGCGAGACACCTTCGTTGCAAGTAAATACTTTTTGTTTTTCTACTTTGCTTGTGAAAGAGGTAACTGACGGACCGCAGCTTTTTGAATTTGAATCTGGTGCAGATATAGAAATAGGCCGATTCTTCATCCTCTTCATCTTCTTCTTTCCCTGAGGGTGAGGTGGACCAGCCACATTGGTGTCTTCAAAATATTAAGTGGCGGAGGAAACGATAAAAGCGTAGATAGAAACATTCACAATGCAAGAAATCGAGCGCACGCTCCAGTCCAATGTGGAGCAGGTCATCGAGCGGTTCTCCATTATGCAAGAAAAGAATTGAGTCTGAGTGTGTGTAAGTCCGTCATGTCGCTGCATCACATCATGCAACACAGTTACGCCTGTCATGTTGGCCATCCATGAGCAGCTCTTTGTCTTGCTATAAACTTTGTCATGCTGTCACTCCCAGAGGACACCTCCTACAATCACACAATTTTTTTCTTGGATATCCATTGCCTCCGTGCCAATACAAAAGCAAGGCCTGGAATGCTCGCTGAACTGTTTCCAGAGCTTTGAGGCAAAAAACTACAAGGACATAGGAAACTGTGTGGAGAAGTGCCAAAAGCCGTTTCAGGAACTCGGGAGTGTCACGAATAAAGAGTTTCAGGGTATAGAATATTAATTTGCCAAGCAAGAATGGTACCAGAATGGGAGTCTGTCAATCATGCAAAAATCGCTTTTTAAATACAAAAAATCAAAACTCTATCAGGTCTCCAGCGGGGGGTGCAAACGTGTCAACAATCCTGCATGGACGTGATCCAGCCACAGCTCGACGCCATCAGGTCGGGGCTGCAAAAGCAACCAAGCGAGGCGGAGCAGAAATATCCTGTGCAAAAGTATCGTACTCGTATAAATGCAAGTCTTGTGTATCAGTGGGGACGGAGCCCCCGTACTGTACGGGGCCCCCAGTACAAACAGGCACCTGCAAACAAATTATGCTATTGGAAAACAACCGAAATCTGCATTTTTTATACAAACGTATGTGCCGCCAAAGGTACCCGGTCGCACCGTACAGGGTTACCAAATACACAGGCCCGGCGGGAATCTCCGGGGGCCCCGTGATTAACAGGTCAGTTCCTTTTGTACAGGACCCAAATCTGCATGACGACTATCTAAACGCCGCGCACTGCCACTGCGCCCGTCGTCGCTATTTCCACAGGCCTTCGTGAGCACGACGCCGCCATAGCCAAGCACGTCGCTCGCCTAGATATTTGAAGCTATTTTGCCTTCACTGCCCCGCCCTGCTCTGCAGCGCGCGTGTGCCTACTCACATCAAGTCGCGCGCGCGCGCGCTATCCACTCACATCTTCCAGCCCTGACCTCATCTCTTTTATTTTCGCTATTTTCTATACAAATCCGTGTTCGGAGGTGCCCGGTTGCACAGGGCCGTCCGTCTTCTCTTTTCTACAATTTCGATCTTTTTTTGTACACTTTTCGTGTTTACTCATGTACATTTTTGGTATAAGAGGGCCCGTACCGTCAGGGGTACCCGTTTGTACAGGTTCACTTGCATTACAATTTTTTTTCTTATCGTAAATCCGCATTACAAATTATATTTCTCATGCCAAGCAGGAAATTTCAATTTGTAATGCATTTATACGAGTACGATACTTTTGCAATGTATAAGAAAGTGATGCAGGCAAATGTCGAGCAGTGCGCGTCAAAGTGCATTACCGACCACGGGATTGGCAAGTTGACCGATGTGGAAAGTAGGTTGATGGGCTACATTAAAGGGTTCAGGCTGAACTAATGATACGTGTTATTTCCACGAGGAAAAATAATGACAGTCATGATGCGCACTTCAACTTCTTCAAGAGCTATACAGTTATACAGCCTATTCATGACGGAAATAGGATATACATGCAGCGACAATGAAAAAAGCGACCTAATTTATTTTCGTTCACAGGGCAGTGACGACAGAAGGAGAAGTAGAAAATGATGAGACCACAAGCGAAATGTAGGTACTCTACTACTACTTGACATTGCACGCATGAATCTCGTTCGAAGTTGTGCTAGTTTGAACCACCACTGTGTTCGACAAGTCGAAGTTCTTGCGGTGCAGCTGGCACTGCTTACAGCGTGGTCCTCGCCAAGCACAAAAATCCCTGCTGTGAAGATGTTGCACGAAACTAAGAATTATCTGTTGCGCGGCGAAAAAGATCAGTGCAGTAAGCATTTTTTGCGACCACGTCGCGGAAGTAGGATTGAATGAATTTAGTTTATTTGGGTAAGTGTTTACGATCCTGAATTTCTTCATTAGGTTGAGGCCGACGTCTATTTCTTTGATGTCATCCTCCACCGTAAGGTACTGGCCTTGGTCCATGCAATCAAGGAACTGGAAATGTAAGCATTATAGATGGAACCAACCGCGTCCCTCAGGACGTGTATGCGAAAATTGGGACCATGGTGAACGTTATTTTCCCACGCCCACTCGAGGCAAAAGCAAAACATAAACAAAATCAAAAAACGAATTTCCCATAGAGTAATTGTCCGTGAACAAAATAGTTGTAGAAGGCTGGTGGTACTAGCGGTTGTACCAACACCAAGTACAGCAACTCTGACGGTATAATTTACATCACGCTCCTGTTCCACTTTGACTTTAACCTCGACGGCGAAAGAACTGCTTGTCAGCCGTTCTCTTAATTTACACAGCTGTACTCATTTTCGACAACCCTGAATCAACTTTCAAGATCAACTATCAAGATGGGTCCCCGGTCTCCTGCCTCGCGCCGCGAGCGTTTCGACGTAGGAGACGTGCACAACACTCTCTCCCCTTCGTTCTTTGTCATGCAAAACCACAACTGCATTTCCATTTGCTGCCTTGTGGCACTGTTTGCATGACAAATTTGAATTTCGGAGGCGCAACCAGTACTATCTCCGGCTGATCATGAGCTTGTGATGCACCCGCTCGATGAATGCTGGTGTTTGTATTGCTGTTCATGCAAAATTACAAAGGCCGGGGAGAGGTGGGAGTTGTGCACTCTCATACGACAGCGCCGACAGCATGAAATCTGTCGTGGAAGAGGACAGCCGTCCGCCGAAGCCGAAGCCGCAGGGCTCGATTTCCCGGGCGCTGAACATATGGGGTTCTCAAACGTATACATTCTCAACTGTTACATGATTTGTCATGCAAAATTGCAATCAGAATCGACACGATCAAGCTGTCGCGCTGGCTAGCTGGCCGGGCTGTACTGATCAGGTGTGGTGGGTAGCTCCCGACTGGTTGGTACTTTTATTGAGGCGACTTGCTGTGGTAGCGCTCGGCTTTTGTATGTTGAGGTCGCCAAAAGTGCTTCCTTGCCCACCCCCCGGGGAGGGGATCCTTGACCTGTGGCGCTGGGTGCGGGTGTCCACTACATGATGATGATGAAGCTGCTTCGCATTACAAATTCTCGAAGAGCCCAACAGGCTGAGAATCTGTGCGAAATCTGTCATGCAAGACGCGCAAGGTCCCCTCTTTCACGGTTGCCGTTCTTGCATCACAAATCCATGTAACAGTTGAGGATGTAACAGTTGAGAACGCCATAGGGCACCCGCCCAGGTTTGAATCCGTTTCTGGCTGTATGTGTAGGTGAAATCAGTCATGCATGTCATTTGGTAAGTTCTTGTCTGGTCGTGAATTTGTCATGGGCACCGCACTAAGGTTTCGTGTTTGTCATGCTTCTACGCCTAATACGAATCGAGATCGACAAGATCGTGGTCGTGATTTCACATACCATACGCTGCCCAGCAGGATACGGAGGTGGCGGACCGTATCCTGAGCAAAAACGTCCCCACCTCCCCATAGTCAAAATGGGAAATCCCCTAGACAAAATCAGCCACCTGTGGTTGTTGATGCGCATGACAAGTTTATTGGCCTCATAGTGTATAAAATCCTGTAGTTTAGCTTGTTCATCTTCAGCAGCATCACAGATCCAGCCCGTTATGCTGAATGGAGCATTACAAATTTCAAAACCCGACTAGAAATAAGCTTTTGTAGCATGGACCTCCGCATGAGAAACATTTTGGGCATGCAGAATTGCATGACAACTATGTTGGGGACGTTTTTCCATAGGATAGACCGCCGCCGCGCGTTCATGAACAGCATCATGGACGATTCCGAGGACGACGACTATGCATCGCCAAAGCATCTTCGTACTAGTGGAAACTGCATCACAAACTTGCTCAGCATGACAAATGGAAGTTGTCATGCTGCTTTACCGTGAGAAGGAGATTTGTCATGCAAGCATAGCTTCGATAGTACTTTTGCAATGCATAACGACGACGTGAATGTCAAATTCGCGACCGTGTTCGTGATATCCTGTGCAAAACTATCGTACTAGTAGAAATCGTAATCGAAAAATGACAGATTTCTTCAGCATGATGAGAAATGAAATTTGTAATGTCGATGTACCTTGAGGAAGAGATTTGCAATGTGTGAATGCGATTGGTAGAAGTGCGATATTTTTGCAGAGGATACGTGAAAGACAAGGACGAGAAGACCCAGGCGTACTCCTTATGCATTGCAAATATATCTGGTTCAGGTGAAAAAATGCAAGCTCTGTCATGCTTATCTGGCATGACTGAAGAGTTTGTGATGCGTTTCCAAGAACTAGAAAAGACCTATTTGCTTGTCATGCAAAATACACGCAGTTTGTCATGCGAGAAGAGCAGCACTTCTAAAAAGCTGCGCAAATATAAATTTTTTATGTCCGGCTGTGCATTACTTACTAGAATTACAGGGCATTTCTCACTATTCACAACCCCGCATTTTTACAAGTTTCCAGACCCAGACACATTTGTATTTGATACACCTATCCCGGCGGCAAGGTCGTGGACTCGGCTACGAAGCAGTACGGCATGTAAGCAAGAAAAAAAATGTGTATGTAAGTGTAACTTTGTGTCGCAGACGATGCAAGACAATTACGCGTGTCATGCTGGACATGTGTCTGAGGGTCTTTTCGTACGTGTTTTCACGTACCAGCTACGCATGACATGCAGAGCAAACTTGTGATGCTATTCCTCCCAGAAAGTTACACTTACGCAGTTTTTTTCTTGCATAGCATGACGAGCAAGACCACTACCACTTCGGACGAGCAAAAGGGTAGTAGTACTAAGGAACAACGCAAACAGAAACACACCTCCTCCAAAGAGGACCACGACTACAAAGAGGATAAGGATATTACCAAAAAGAAGAAGGAAGACCGCAAAAAGCGCCTATCAAAAGGAAAAATCCCCCCTCCCCATATCAAAACGAAATTTCTGATGCTGGATTTGGATACACAGATCACATTTGTCTTGCAGCAGAGGACTGCAGGCATATGCCGAGCCTGAGGCGAGAGGTTTTGACGTAGGTGCCTAGCATGACAAACGTCTATGCTGTAGGCCCAACAGCATCACAAACCGCCTACATAGTGCGGCGGACTCTCTAGAGTTGCCCTCTTGCAAGACAAACAGGATTTGTCGTCACAGATCTACATCACAAATTTTCAGGCGCATGCGTTTTCAATACGGGGAGGGGGGATTTTTCCTTACGATAGCGCCGTGATGACCGCTCGTCGTCTGACAGCGACAAGTCCTTGCCGGAGGGCAGGCTGAAGAAGCGGGAGAAGCGGGAACGTGTATCAAATGTAAAAATGTCTGGGTCTGGAAGATTGCCAGGTTTGTCATGCACATTTTGCATGACTCCTGATGTCTGTGATGCATGCCCTAGCATCACAGATTTTGTGAGGGCTTCCTGATGCCTACACCGCATGACAAATGCTCTTTCCGTGTAGCAAAACTTGGACTCTCGTTGCTGCTCATGCAATACAGATTTTTTTAGAATCCAAAATCAGCACGACAAGTTGGATTCTTCCAGACCCAGACATTTTTACAATTGATAATGTGATGAAGAATACTATAAGTCCACCTCGTCGGACCACGAGTACCCGGGACAGCACCCGTTGGCCATGCGGGAATTAAAACGCCAACGCGAGGAAGAAGAAAAGCGGAAGCGAATGCGGAGGTCGGTACGCAATAAAAAAATTGTGTAGAGTGTAACTCTGTAATGCATAACGACGTAACACAGTATATCATTTGTCATGCTGGCCAGCAATGCGGTCCTCTTTTCATCAACATATGTGTTTTATTCACTATCACTGATACTAGCTGTGCACCATGACAGACTTCCTCTGTGCAACATCGGAGCAAATTGAAATTTGTCATGCTGTCACACTAGCACAGCTTTTTTCTTGGATAGTGCTCCTACGACGCGCCTGCCTCGGAGGGGGACATGGAAGGAAGAGACTACCCGGGACCGCACCCATTGGCCATGCGGGAATTAAAACGCCAACGCGAGGAAGAAGAAAAGCGGAAGCGGAAGGCGGAGTCGTCCGATCACAGCCGCGATTATGTATCCAAGAAAAAAACGTTGTTAGTGTAAATTTGTGATGCGCAACATGCAAGACGATTGCGTCTGCCATGCTTGGCATGCATCGTAGGGCCCATTTGAGGGCGTTTTCACGTAGTACTATCTGCGCGCGACAGGTTTTTGCTGTCATGCCAGACAAATTTGTAATGTTGTTCCTCCAAAAAAGTTACGCAATGTTTTTTTGTTGGATATTATGCAATGCAAATTTACCGGTTTATGGTCTAGTACATAATACAAAATGCATCGCAAATTTGTTTGCCAACCTGAGGCACATTGATTAAAAAGACTAAGAACACTTGTCATGCTCCTGAGAATGCAGCTCTGGTGCGGTGGGACGAGATGAAAATTTGTCATGCAATGCTCTACTACGGCCTCTGTGGGAAATTTGGTTTCGATCGCGCTTCCAGTGAGGATCGGTATGCGAAGAAGAAGAACCGCAGAAACTGAACGGGTGAGGGGGATATTACAACTTCATCCTCTACATCTTCAAGGGGAAGAGCCACTACATCAAAACCTGGATTATAGGATTGTAGATGGAACAGAATCTTGTGCTACTTGTTCAAGAATGTGAGCAGTACAGCAGTTTTCGAAGAAACTTCTATGACTTTTTCAAGAAACTACAGGTATACGAATTTATTACTTGACAACCAGGACCCACCTGCTGCTCGTGGTAGGTGAGGGTTCATCTTCTTCATGCTGTGTTTTTTTCTAAAGGCGAACGACGATTGCGAGTGGCAAGTATTTTTAAAACACCTTCTATTTATTGATTCACATCTGCGATACTGGATGCGCAAACGGAATTCAGATTCTTGAAGCCAGCATGAGCTCCTACAAATTTTGTCTTTATCCCGATAAGACAAAAAATCAAATAGACAACTTGGATGTCTATTACGACGTGGGTGCTCCCAGCACGAGCGACTGCGTGAAAAAACAAAATGGCAGCACCTGCGCCGACGTGCGAGGTGGACGCGAAAGAGTTTCACAAGCACGTAGGCGTGGACCACGGAAAAGATTTTGACGAGCAGCAGCTGGAACAGATGCGGAGTGTTCGATCATTTTTTTCGATGTTATTTGTCTCTACCACTGCTGGTGCACGACGAAGACGAATCCAATTTCTGCCTATGCAGCCCAAACGAGGTTCAAACTCCACAGATATAAGTAGTCTAGGCAGAGAAGATCTCTTTTCCTTTAACCACCAGGATCTGATCTTGATCACAGTGTGAGATGATGCACTCTAGATATTGATGACGAGGATGCGTTCCTGCTTGATATTAACGAGGATGCGTTCCTGCTTGATGTCAATATCCATGAGATCCAGTAGTTCAAGGTTTCAAGATGGCATGACTTGAATTGCCAGAAGCAGCTCGATAGTCGATCACGACCCTGCGCCAACGACTTTCCTTAAGTGTCTATTTAGTAGGTTCAATTTCTACAGAGAATGAAAGACAAAGAACAAGATGAAACACTAGAAAATAAAGCCTAATGCGCGATCTATCGTGGGCAAACCTCGAGCTCGACCAGCATGTTGATCTAGTACTTACTAGGACGCTTGTTCAGTACCACCATGAAGATCTAGTTTTTTGATTAAGCTCTTATTCCACGATGGAAAAAACGCGATGGAAATTATAGTCTCTGCGTAGTCAAGCCCCATAATATAAAGGATGCAGAAATACTAGCGCCACGACCTTCTAATGCAAGAAAAAAAACGATGAAAGCGTTTTGGATGCGACCACGCTCTATTTCTTGCAGGTTCATCAGATGCAGGCACGCAAAAAATTCACATCCCAAAAAAATGACAGACACAGGTGATTTGTAGCCATATCGGTGGTTGCAAAGCTTTTGTCCTTATTTCCTTTCTTAGGTATTTATTGAGCACGACTCGGTGGAACTACGTTCGTTGTTGTTTCATTTTTCTAGAAGGCACACTAATATCTTCACTACGATCTGGTATTTGAAACCCTAAAGCTTTACTTCTGAATACGGACTCCTTATAAATTTACAATTTACACGTTACCCCAAGAAATACGCAAGATATCTCGTCCAAGGTTGTTGTACTGTTTCTAGTGTTTCAAATTTTTCACAACTCCCAAAGTGAAAAACTGAAATTCTTCAGCTGTGGATGGATGTTTCTAAATGTATGTTTCCCTGTTCTACTTGTTGAGCTCGTCGATTGTTGATACAGATAGTTGTGATCATCTACCAATATAGAGATCGAAACCAAACGAACGTGAAAGCAAATTTATTGTGATTAGAATTTAACCCCATAGCCATACCTCCATAGAACTGTTGTATTTTGAAAAGACAGACAGACAACGACCTGATTTGAATCAGGAATCAATTTTCTCGACGTGTAAGATAAATTTGTTTACGATTATTTGATTTCCTAGCAGTGGACTATTGAATCTACCGTGCTTTGATAGTCACCACTCTATTACTTTTACTACTTTTTTAAGTGTAGACCGGCCTGGGTTGTTGTGTGAAATTTCCCAGGTTCTTGTTGTACTTTGTGCTTTTTTTTTTCCACTTTACATTTACTGTTTTTCGCCAAAAAACGTAAAAAACTCTGTGACTATTTCAAGCTCGTAGGTGAAAATCAAAGAAATCACTACCATGATCACTCTCTAATGGTTCTTGTGGTATCTTTGTTCTTACCGTGAAAAATTGAATTTGATATCGACAGAATTTGTCGATAGAACAAGCGAAGAATATTGTATTGAAACTGGAAGAAGTGTCGCACCATAGCTCATGTGTCACACTTTGTGAAACTACTTTTACTCTTCGATGATTACGATTATCTTGTGATCAGTTGGCGCACGATAGTACACGTACACACTTTCTCACACCGCCTGTCAATTTCATCACGATGGATACTATCTGCCGCTGGTGAAAGAGAGGACAAGGACTAACACTATTAAAAAACGAAAACTATTCCCACCGAATAAAGCGAACACTTCTAAATCTAAAGAGAAAAGCGTAAATAAAACCAAAAAAGCCAGAGCATCTTCTTCTCTTACCGCTACTCGGAGAAGAAGTTGCTCTGGTTCGATCTCCAAAATTTATCGGAAAAATGGACGAGAGTCTCCAGCAATTACTGGCGCAGCAGCAGCTGCGGCCCGAAGACAAAGTGGTCAAAGCTGCCCTGGCGGGGCACCACGATTACCCGATGTTGAGCAACCCTTTCCTTGAGGAGGCTGAAACAGCTGCAACCCCGACCCCGACGGCCGGCGGCTCTGGTCACCCAATGAAGTTTGACTGTCCCTTTCTCGCACGGGCCGAGGCCGCGCGCGCGGGTGATAGTACAACAACTCAAGACGATGATGTCGTGATGCGGATTGACAGCACGGAGCAGAGAACTTCCACGGATGATTTCCTTGAGATGAACGACATCTGCAGCAAGGCTGGTGGCCACAACCAGGACGAAGATCACCAGCTTCTGAAAGCCGGAGACAAGCAGCTCTCCAGTACGACCGCTTGTTCGACGGATGAGTGCTGTGAAGAGTTCCTGGTGATGTCGGGAAACAAGGAAAAAACCCTGTCCCACACAACTTCCACCAGTGAATTTTTGGAGGCAGCAATTGGCGACTACATTAAGACCAAGACCGGGGAAGAAATCCAGGAACATCAAGCAAAACAAGGTGGAGGTCCAGATCAGAATATTAGTAAAATGGATCCAGCCGCTGGACAAAACGAGAAGAATAAGAACGGAGGACAAGAAGCAAAAGTGGATGGTACTAACACCACCGAAAATACCACCATCGAGGGTGGAGCAGGTGAGGCCACGACCTATCAAATGTAAAAATGTCTGGGTCTGGAAGATTGCGAGATTTGTCATGCAGATTTTCCATGACCCATGAGGTCTGGAATGCCGGGCCTAGCATGACAGAGTCTGTGAGGTCTCTGCCATGCCTATCCCGCATGAGAAACTACCTCCCAACTTGGTCGAAAGTGGACAGCTTTTGGCACTCATGCAACACAGATTTTTGCATTATTCGGATTTAGCATGACAAGTTTTAATCTTCCAGACCCAGACATTTTTACATTTGATACGACCACCAGCTCATTTACATTTGATACGAGGCACACAACTTCCACCAGCGAATTTTTGGAGGCAGCAATCGGCGACTACATTAAGACCTCCGGGGAAGATCTACAACAACAGGAACTACAAGCAGGAGGTGGTCCAGATCAGAATATTAAAATGGATCCAGCCGGAGCGAAGGAGAACAATAACGGAGGACAAGCAAAACCAAAAGTGGATGGTAACCTCGAAAATAGAAATACCACCATCGAGGGAGGTGAAGCCACGACCACCAGCTCTACCAGGGCGATTTCCCCGACCGGCGCCCGCCTGTACGTTGACACGGTGGAACAGGGGCAAACGCAGTGGGACGCCAGGATTGAGGCCGCCCACTGTCGGTATTCCTACTATGTGGCAGACCGGACTTCCGTTCAGGACGCCCGGAAACGGGAACGGGAATGGAAACTGGCGGAAATGAGGAAGCAGGCGGACCAGATGCGCGCCTGCTTTACACAAAAAGCGGCTTTGCCAGCGGAAAGGCATCAAGGGATAGTTTTAGGAGATCATCATGTGAGTTCATCTGAAGGAGCGGCTGCAGGAGGTTCTTGTGCACAAAAAAATGAATCCTCGTCATCCCCAAAGCGCTGCCTGGTACGGGAGGGCAGCGGCACGATATGAAATGCAAAAGCATCGTACTAGTAGAAATTGCATGACAAATTTCCTCCGCATTGAGAATGGAATTTGTAATGCGAGTTTCGGTCAAGAAGCAGATTTGTATATGCATGGCTGCAATTACTACGAGTGCGATACTTTTGCACAGGATACACGATTAGTTTTGGCAAAGACGAGCAGGCACCCATTAAGTTTCAGGCGGTTTGGCGCAGGGATAACTCGATGGACCTGGACAACTCGTCCCAGGTGAACAACAACGAGAAAAGTGGGAACAGTTGTCCCGGATCCGGGTCGGAGAACGTTGTTGACAGTGCGACGACCACGACCACCACGACTGCAAAAAATGATGATGAAGATGATCATGTCAAAAAAGAGAAAGCAGAGGAGAGCACTGCTGCTGCTGCTGGTCAACATGTGGACGAGGACCTTGGTGACGAAGATCATGATAACAGCAGCAAGAAGAAGTTGAAACCGTTACAAATGCCGGCTGCGGTTTCGAAGGCAGTCCCAGCTGGTGCTCTACTTCCGGGTGGACCGAAAAAGGGCACAACTACGTCTCCGACAATCACGACCGGCAAAAGTGCAGCTCCGCAGCTTTCGCCGCCACCAGGCTCCTCTCCTGTGTTAACACCGCCCGTGCATCAACCGGGAATGAACAATCCTGCGGGAGGGGGAGCAGCAAGAGGAGGCCCTGCTTGGCACATGATGAATAAGGGTGGTGCAGCAGGTGCACCAGCAGGACCGGCAACATCTCCTGGGTCTTCCTCTTACGGACCAGATAGCTACAACAGTAACAACATGCAGAACGCGAATGACGGCGCAACTTTTGTTCCTGGTAAAGCTGGGCCACAACATGTAGCTGCTCCCCCGACTGGTGGTCCGTACGGTTCTGGTAAGAGCAGGAATTATCCGCATGGGATGAATAAGGGACATCATCAACATCATAATGCGATGAAGGGAGGGCCAGCACCACATTATCAGCAACACCACTTCAAAGGAGGGTCATGTGCTTCATTTCATCATCCGCACCACCAGCATCAGCAACATCACCCTCCAGGTGGGAAAGACGTGAACGCCTTAGTGTCCAGTTTTCTTAATCAGATCACCAACAACCAGGCTGGTGCAACATCTCCAAACAAGGGTGGTGGTGGTGCAGCAGCAGCGTCTTCTTCCATGGCCGCTCTAGATATGGGACTGATGGTCGGCGCTATGCTGCAGCAAGTGCAGCAACCCCAAATTATGCCGGAACAGCAACTGCACAAAGGATCATACGGCCGTGGCAAGATGAACAAAGCAGGTTCATACGCGATGAATCATGGTCTTGGGAAGCACGGACAACAGCATCACGCTGGGACGAGGTTTGGTAGCTCCTTGCACGGGGCGGGACCACAGCCGATGTACGGAAAGGGAGGACCAGGTAGTACTACTCTCGGTTCTCCACCCGGGTCTACTTCTGCTGTGTCATCTTCCTGCGCATTGACGGATGCGTTAGTGGCGATTCAGAATGTTCTGAACAGCACCAATACTGGGACAAACAACCCGGCCAACAATTCGGTCCTGCATGACATCATGCACCAGCAGCCACAACAAGTACCGCAGCAGCACCCCAGTACAACTACCACTGGAGCCGTTTCTAGTGGTGATGAGTGGTTGTCGAATCTCGTGCAACAAATTACCGCATCAGGTGGCTGCAACACGACCTCCATCGCCGGCACTTCTAACCACGCGGGCGTAATGGAACAGCAGCAGCACAACCTGTTAGTACCCGGAATTGCTGCGAACGCGGCGGGTAGTTTAACGGGTGCAGCCGGACTGCAGCACCAGCATGGTCGTGTTTTTCAGCAGGGCCAATCGAACACGACGCCTCCTGGTCCTGCTGGATTGGCGGGTGCGAACGGCAACTCGTGCACGAGGACGCCGTTGAACAATTCCCGAGGAGGTGATGGGGACTCCACCGGGGGAAGCACCGCAGCACCGGCAGACATATGCGTTGCAAATACGGGTGGGTGTGGACGGATGCAAACTTGTGATGCTGTCTTTGGATTCTAAAAAAATCTGTATTGCATGAGCTGCAAAGCAAATAAAGGAGTAGCCCAGTTTTTGCTACGCCAAATAAGGGGCATTTTTCATGCGGGATTGGCATCAAGAAGCCCGCAAAATAAACTCTGTGATGCTATGGCATACATCACAGACAGAGACAACATGGCTCATGCAAAACGTGCATGACAAAGTTGCAATTAGCATCCAGCCCGCCCAGACATGTTTGGACTCAATAAGACGATTGGTTTAACGATTTGATCGGGGGACAGTAGTGGGTCTTCTTCGATGCAGTGCGTTGTTGTTCTCGGAAGTAGATCATATGCGCAAGAGAAGAGCTAAAGCTTTTATCATCTTGATATTCTCCTTCCGTCGGTACTTCTGAGGGCTTGACTGCAACAAGCTTGTTACAGACCTCAGAAAATAAGGACACGAGAGGTGGACTTGAGTTCGCTGCTCACGGCATATGAAAATCATTTTTACTGGAAGGTAAAAATGACAATGTCAATGTAGATAAGGCGAGGAAGAGAAGACAGGCACCAGCTGGTCTTTGTTCCGGTTGGGTTCCTTCAGCCGTGCTTTTCTACGACCTGCCCAAAACAGAGTTCTAGCACTTCTAACGCCTTTGTCTTTACGGTTTATTCACTTTTTCATAATTTATTGATTCACGTTTTCGTACGATTTGTAGCTGTCATCTCTTCTTCTAGTTCTAACATGATCATGAACTCTCTTCTCCGTGCTCGGCAAGAAATCTTCATGGCATCTTGGCACTAGGAGCAGGAGAAAAAGGTTTGGCGCGATCAGCACCGGATCTCTGTTGGACGGAGACACTCTCTATACTGGTTTTACAACTTCATTCTACGATATGCACTTCTGCTGTACTAATACCACCCCGTCCGATTTTTATCGGATTGGTGTAACACAAAAATTTGAATATGACTTCTACACGATTTGAATAATATGGACTCGCTCTACTCAAGATCAAGAACCTGAAAAAGATTTTTATTTCATCAGGTGAACTAACTCACTTTTTTTTTCTCGCAAACTTCTCTACAGTCCGCGGGCTACAAACATCTCTTTTCAAAACACGGGTGGAGCTGGTGAGCAACTCAGATGGAGGTTGAGCTGCTCGCACTTTCACTTGGCTCAACATTCACAAACTATCTAGCTCCGGAGGGGCAGGTAGTAGTTGTTGGGAGGTGCTTGTAGTTTCTTTAGGTTTTTATCAATAGCTAAGATACGGATACCGCTAGTCTGTGTAGCAGACACAGACTGCATTTGTTATAATTGTTTCGAATATTTGTATTTCATTGAGGATTCATCTACACACATTGTTTTTCAAAAAAGATTTTATTGGACAGATTTGTTACAGCAAATGTTGCGTTTCTATTTGCGCTTCCGGTACTAAAGTCGGAGGAAGGTCAGACGAATTCTTGTATCACAAAAATCAGGAGGAAAGAATATTATTGAAAACGAAAAGTGCTGGTACTCATGCACTTATGAGGAAACAGAAAAAAGAATCCGAGATTTATTTACGAAACTACTTGGCGACAAAGGTTTGTCCTTTATTACGAAGAAAGAAATTCGGAGCGGCGAATAGCGATTTCATCTTTGAGCACGATTTTAAAAAAGACGACGGGTTTAAGAAAAAAACGTAAACGACCACTGATTAGCATGAAAACTACTACAAAGAAGGGGCGCATAAAAGTGGCACGCACTGAAGAAACCACAAAATGAAGACGTGCGCGGCGATATGCGAGGGGGCTGGCCGGTCGCTCGGCGCGCGGGCGCCGGGCCCCCGTGGCCCCTTCAAACTACAGCGACCGGGCATGGGCATTCGCGTTGTGGCGCGTAGTCTGGATGGATGTTGGGGCGCAGTGGTTTGCGATTGTTTTTCGCCTTTCACATTGATGGGAGGGGCGGCGCGGCCCTTGGCGCGGGCGATCGATGGCGGCGCAAAAAGGAGAAAATCGGGAAAACATTTTTGCGCGGGAGCCAGCGCGATTGGAGGCGTGGAGACTTTTTGAGAAAAATGGAACTTGGACGAGAGGGTGGAGGGACTTTTTGAAAAAAGTCCCGGCACCGCCACTCCTCTGTCGTCCAAAGTTCGCTAAAATTTTTCAGGAGGCTCCAAAGCCTCCCGCGAGCCTGCCACCTACCCACGCAACCCTGCAGGAACTGAACGGAAAACATGGAGCGTGGCGGCACACGAAGTACCGCCACCAAATCGGCGCGCGCGCAGGCGCCTGTGATTTTTTTGAAAATTCGAAAAAGCCTGCGGCGGTTTGCATCAGTGCGCCCCGGTGTTTGGGAGATAGGGCGCGCTCTTTCGGAGTTGGTCCCCGTTTAGCCTTCGCTACATTTGCCGCGCCGCCCGCCCTCTTGTTGCTTGGGTCTGCAGAGAGACTGGTCCGCCGATGCGCCTCCGTTCTGCGCTCGGAGTCCCGGCTTGCAGCGCATCGGAGAAGGCGGATGGCAGGCTTTCGCAGCCCAATTTGACGCCTTGCGCCCATCGATTTCGCGCTGGGATGTTGCGCGCGCGTGCCGCCAATCTGGGCACCGTTGGCACTGTCGGGGAACTGTCGCGCGACGGTGCGCCATCTACATGTCACACTTAGACGGTAAATGTGACAGTTAGACAGGCTCAAAATGGTTCGTTTTGGTTTCGTTCTCCGTTCATAAGAAAAAAACGTAAACGACCACTGATTAGCATGAAAACTACTACAAAGAAGGGGCCGCGCCTGAAGAAACCACAAAATGAAGACGTGCGCGGCGATATGGGAGGGGATTAAGGAGGCGCTCTTGAACAAATGGAGGAGGAACGGGACGACCAGCTCTTTTTGTCCTGAGTAAAAACGTACCCACACCATAGTTGTCATGCAGCTCTGGATGCTTCGAATGTTTCTCATGCGGAGCCCCATGAGAAGCATTTTCTAATGCGGTTTTGAAATTTGTCATGCTCCAATCAGCACGAGATACTAGATCTGTAATGCTGTTAAACTAGCTCAAACAGCACTACACTACGCGGACAAACTTGTCATGCCAAACAACCAAAGCTGGCTGATTTGTCTAGCAGATTCCCCATCCTGACTCTGGTGTGGGTACGTTTTTACCCAGGATACTTTTTGTCTCTACTTCACGTCGCTCGTACTACAGCCGCTGGATCTACATCTAGCTACTACAGCCGCAGCAGCTCTTTTTGTCTCTACTTCACGTCGCTCGTACTACAGCCGCTGGATCTACATGCGCCAATTTTTCCGCAGTCTCGGGGAAAAGATGGGCTTTGTTTCTGGCGGCCATTCTTTCACATGTGAAAAAATAGATTTTGTTACTGGCAGCCATTCTTTCACATGTGAAAAAATGGACTTTGTTTCTGGCGGCCATTCTTTCACATGTGAAAGAATGAAATTTGTTCCTGGCGTCCATTTTTTCACGTGTGAAAAAGTGGGGCTTGTTCCCGGAGGTCATTCCTTCACACGAAAAACGAGACGTGAGGCCTGTCGCTACTGGCAACTATTTTGTCGGATGCGGATGGGCGCGCTCTCTTTCTGGCGACTATTTCCCCACATGTGAAAAAATGAGCGCGCTTTCTGGAGGGCATGTTCAGTGAGTGAACAGCTTTGCCTTCTTGCCAGCTCCCGCCTTCTCAGATTTAAGTCGTGCGCCTTTTTTCTGTCGTCGATTTTTCCACGGCCATCCATATACGGAAATGGGCGCTCTCTCTGGGGCGCACTCTTTCACATGCGGGGACATGCAGTCTCCTCCTGCCGCTGATTTTTGACACTCCTGTGGGCGGCCCTTCTATTTATTCTGAGCGTCTGGCCCGATCCTTGCCGGCGCCGACTTTGAGGCGCCGCAGTTCTTGCCGCGCAGGTGTCTCATCGTCATAAATGTTGGGCGGGAAAAGGAAAATCGCGCCACATTATTTCACCTTTTTCCCCTACAGGTAGCAATAGACCCACTTCCCTTCCAATACTTCACGTCGCTCGTACTACAGCCGCTGGATCTACATGCTAACGGTGCTTGTAGAGACCACGGCTCAGCATTATAATATCTCTGCACCTTCGTTCCTAGAAAGTAAGAAGATGCAACTACGACAAGAAAATAAATGCGGAAAGATGCAAATCAAAGAAATTTCTGATTTGTAGTTTAGCACATGATTCAGGTGCACTGTCTCCGGCTGCAGCAACACCATCAACATCAACACTTTCAAACCTTGCAGCCCCCTACTTTTCGCTAGCAAGGTCATCACTGGATCATGAAAAACGGATGTAATATCACCACTACGTACCACGTCGGCGCAGCGCTTCTCTGCCACTAGATCTAGAATGCCGGAATAAAATACTGTAGCTGTAGTTGTCGCATTGATCTACTTCCTACTATTCGTCTCGGAACATCAATAGAGAGCCAAAATTAACTTGGTAAGAGGATTTATATCAGACGCATTTCTTGTGTGGGACAAGGAATCTTCTCAGGAGGACTCAAGGACGTGGCGTCATGAGCACAATTGGATAGTAATGCTCGCCCGCATCGATGTACTTAAAGTACATCGATGCGGGCGAGCATTATGGTACAACTTCGAAGTGTGTCTCTACTGTTTTTTCACAACTACAAGCGCTAGGAAAAAAAAAAAGAGATCCCACCTGCCAAGAAGGAAGCTCTTTAGAGTTGTCTTTATTCAGTTGTTGTACTGTGGAATGAAGGCCATGACGAGAGAGCAGTACTACTACATGTGAAGCAGCAGTAGCTCGAATAAAATGGTCTACTCTATACAGCTTCTAGTTGTCGTGCTAGTGAAAGGAGAAGACGCAAGGCAATAAACCAGGTTTGGTAATTATAGGGCGTTGCAAATAGACGACGATCTTGCTAAGCAACCGAAAAACCATGTTGCTATCTATGGAAAAGGCGATGATCTCACGTACAAAGACAAAAATCCTTCCAGACCATCTGGACGAAGGATTGATGGAACAAAAAGCATGACAGCAAAGTGAAGATCATACACATACCTTTTTATGAACTACACGTGTATTATGTTGTACCTTTTTTTGATTTTCAAATGCATTTCTTTTTTACGAATCACGAAAAAACTAAAAAAGCTAAAAATCAAATACTCGACTTGCGAGGACCATGCGGTTGATGGTCCGCCCGCATCTTCTGCTTCGCTTGAGGATCTAGCTTTAACACTAGAGCACTGAAAAAGATCAGAAGGGGAACAAAGTGAACCCGTCCCGTTGTTCAAAATTTTTGCGTACTAGAACTACATCAAAAGGTCGTGAAAAGATGTCCTCCGCGTTTGAGGCAGGACCACTAAGAGCTTGAATTTCAATCTTCCATAGAATTCTGTACCGATGAACAAAAAAGGTGTGTTGTAGCAAGTAGAGTGTCCTCCACCTCGTCTTTCAGTTGACAGCTTTGATGAGGATGATCTAGTAGAAATCTTCCTATGGTGAATGTGCGAAGTCTTGTTGGCACTAAGTGGATGGACTACAAGGATGTTGTTAGTACCGAAGATCTAGGTCCTGATTATTGTTGCGTGTGAGGAGGAGCTACTAGTGTTGGCCGCTTCATTTATTTTTCTCAGTGCGCACCAAGAACACGCACAAGAGAAAAGAAGTTGCAGATTCTTGTTGTTGAGAAAGATATCTTCTAGCCTGATGCTGAGACCACGGTAATTCTTGATGTGTGCTAGTATGTGCAGGACGACTTACATTTTCGCACGACTTTCTGTGAGTCGAGACCAAAATGAACATTGCAAGCCCAATTTGATTGTCAGCAGGAGTTGTCTCTTTGTCACAATAGTCCAGTTGTGAATCTACTGTATCTGAAGAACGCGATCGCTAACACAGCAGGCAAGTTTGAGGTTTACAGTACAGTAATTATGATGTATGGCTATGGCATACTACGCCGCTTATAGTATTTGAAATTGGAGTTTAGTTGCGATTCGTATCGCTTCTCTTTTCGCCCGGCTTCATTTTTCTGCGCGAGCTAGAGGTACTATGCAGCCTATGGTGGAAAACATAAACAGCACGTCAAAGCAACGACAATTTTACTAGTCTTGAGCAGTTCTAAGTGTAGAAATTGAAAGTGTACGAGCCCCGAAGTATAGGAGTGCGAATGTTAACTTTGTCTGAACTTTATCGCAGCAAGCAAGAATAAATTGAAAGTAGCAGTTTTAGTGCTATTACGGTGACAGTAAAAATAGAAGCGGTATATAATTTTTTGAAGAAGCTAAAACAGCAAGAATTCCTTCGAGTAAACATCAGCATGTCAATAAAGATAAACAAGCCCAAAAATGAAAACTAAAACCCAAGATGTCAAACAGTACTGATACGCAGCAGCAAGGAGCTGCGTCCTCCTCCGTGGTCAACACCGACGGCGAAAATATGGACCAAGCCTTGCCAGAAGCCGACGATCTGCCGGGCTTAGGCGAGGATGACGTCTTAGACCCCTTTCACAAAGAATTGTATGACAACCACCGCGGCAATAAGCCGAACCACACCGCCGGGAACAGCAATGGTAATACAGCTTGTTCATCGTCCGCAGCGGCAGCCGCGTCTTCTTCCTCTTCCTCTGCCTACCACACGGCAACTACTGGTGGTGCTGCCTCAGCGTCAGCTGCTGCTATGAACAATGCCAGTACAACTGCTTCCGGCGGTGGAACTGGATCCCAAATCCCGCAACTATCGGGTGGATTTTCTGACACCACAAATCCTGAACAGCCAGTCAATGGGCATGTGCAGCAGATCCAGAGCACCGTTCATGCGGCCCAGTTAATGGCGAATGCTGCTGCAGCCTTCATGCAGCAGCAGCAGCAGCAACAACAGCTGCATATCATGTGCAAAAGAATCGTACTCGTATTGCAATCATGCATTACGAATCTTTTTCTGAAACTGAATCCGCATTACAAGTTTTATTTCTCATGCTGAGGAAATTTGTAATGCATTTACACGAGTGCGATACTTTTGCAATTCATACTGCAGATGCAGCAGCAACAGGAAATGCAACGCCAGTATGAGCAGCGAATGATGCAACAGCGGATTTTGGAAGGACACCAACAACAGCAGATGCAGCAACAACAGCACTTGCAGCTGATGCAGCAACAGCAGCAGCAGGCGTGGCAACTGCAGCAAATGGAACAAATGCAGCAGCCGCAGCAGCAACCCAAACAAACACTACTTCCAGAAGTACTAGCGCCAAACAATCCGAATTTACACCCGCACGTCGACACCAACGGCACGAACTACTACAAAAACGGAATTTTGTGTGCGGAATATATGGTGATTAAGGGGTACAAATACATCCTTTGTTCGGACTTCCAAGCAGGGAACTGTCGAAAGAAAAACTGCCGGCTACTGCACGCTATGCATTGCAAAAGTATCGTCCTAGTATGAATTGCATATACAAATTTTGGTAAGAACGACCAAAATGGAATTTGTAATGCTGATTCCGGTTGGCAAAAATATTTTGCATGCACCACTGCAAGTTAATACACGAGCGCGATACTTTTGCAATCCATACACGCGAGCCCCGCAATTTACCCCGAGCAGCGCGATATCGAAGCGTACGACCAGTATCATACGAAGACAGGCCGCTGGCTGTATGCCAGAAAAGAGAAGCGGAAAGAGGGAGACCCAGTGGTTCTTGTTGCGCCAGGTGTGGATCAGCAACAAATTGTGGTGGGCGATCAGAATGTAAACACAACTTCTAATCTGAACCAAACAGCTACAACGGTCGGCTGCTCTTCTACTTCTTCTTTTCCGTTTCCGCCCCCATTACAGATCCCAGCGCCAATGATGAACAATTCGATTTTATTACCTTCTGATGTAAAGGCGGAGGACCATCAGCAGCAGGACCACCTTCGGCGCGAAAACAGTCCAGGACTGACTCCTGTTTGTCGCGATTACCTCCGGGGTACGTGCTATGGGCGTGTCAGAATCGAAATCGATATTTATAAGTTGAAATGATTTGCGATGCATGAAACGAATTTATATCAGTCGGCGCCCAGTAGTTTTCAAGTGAGGGCCAGTCTGCCTCACCTGCCAACTCTGCAAGACAGGTATTCTGTGGGTTGCTTTTTATGCATTACAAGTTTTTCAACTTCGTCAATTTCGATCCTGACGCGGCTTTCATACGTGCCTCCGAGGGGGGCGGTGCCGGTATTACCACCCACAGGAGAAGGACAAAAGTAAGTACAATATGGACGGAAGCTATCCACAGTAAATTTCCCGTACACGGACAAATGCAGTCACTGCATGACAAAACTTGCCTTCAGTCCTAGTCTAGCATGACAAGTTGGATACTGCAAGTCAGCGAAATTATTTGTCATGTATTTTGTACATGTACAGGAAATTTACATTGCATAGAAGCCTGAAAAACCTCAACCAGGAGAGCGCAGTACTAGAGTTGCTGTCGCACGCCAACAGAACTCTGCCCGCGAACGAAGCAGGACAAGTTTCTAATGCCGCGGCCCAAGGAGAGATGGTAAACGGGGAAGGTCGAAAAATGGACGTGCTAGTGAGCAATACGACATTTTTACCCTCTACTTCGACAGCTTCCGCAAATGGTGGCTCTGCAGGACAGCTGCCCTCGTCCGCTTCATCCTCGTCTGTTGCCAGCAGCAACAGGAACAGGGGAACGATTTCGGGAAATAATCGCGACAGCGAAGAGGAGATGAACCAACAACAAATACAACCTGAGACTGACAACTCGATGAAGATCGACGGGGCAGATGAACATTATCTCGGCACGACCACAATGATCGGCACTGCCAGTTGTAGTTCATCCACCTCCGCTGCTGGCCGCAACATCAATCGACGGCCGCTTCGAAGGCTCTCTTCCGCTTTGAAGAATCTAAACGATGATGGAGCGACTGCGAGTGGACGTGGGCCACGGGATAAAAATAACACCAGTGATGTAGACCACGAGGACTCATCTTCTCCTATGGTCGTCTGCGAAGGTGATGATGATGAAGATCATCTTGGAACGACTTCGTCTGGCAGGAAGGATCAAAATCAAGATGAAAATGGCCAACAAGAAGAGCCCCCTGCGTTATTAACCAATGAACTGTCAACCTCCACATCTGATGGCAACAAACCATCGGCTTTGGTGGAGCAGCAGCAAGAAGATCTGACCCGCACGACGGCCGCCAGTGGGGCGTCTGTTTTACCAGGAACAAGACCACCTGCATTGACGACCCTTGCTTCCGTCGCCTCAGCCTCCGCTGCGGCAGGGGGCTCAACTGCTGGTGCTGCTGCTGAAGGTGGGCAAAAACCAAAGCACGGCGGCATTTACAACAATGTAGGCTTTGGCACCGCAGGCAGTGGCAGCTTTCGATATGGACAAGGCTCAACATCTGCTGGAACAAGCAACAATCTGTTCCATGGCGGGGGAGGCATAGGCAACGGGAGTACTACAGGAGCATCTTCTGTGCACGACCACACCTCCTCCGCGAATGGACAGCCACAGCCCCTCCGCAGCTCCAGCGGAAATAAGAAAAACAAATTTTCGCAAAAAAAAGATGGTGGTGGTTCCAAAGACGACGACGATGATCCGCACAGAGGGTATTGCAGCGTCCACCGGAAAATGCGGTGGCACCGGCATTTGGAGTATGCATTGCAAAAGTAACGTACTAGTATAAATTGCATTACAAATTATTTTGGCAAGAAGAAAAATGGAATTTGTAATGCTGTTGTACCTTAGGAGGAAGATTCGTCATGCGTATTTGCATTTAGTACGAGTGCGATACTTTTGCACAGCATATGGAGCGGGATGGGAGAGGAGGGTATCGGTGCCGCCTATCAAATGCACAAATGTCTGGGTCTGGAAGGTCGGAACTTATGATGCTAACTTTGGACTCCAAAAAAATCTGTATTGCAAGACCAGCAAGAGGGGTCTAGTTTGTGCTACACGGTGAGGGCGTTTGTCATGCGGAGTAGGCATCAGGAACCCCTCTAAAAATCTGCGATGCTAAGCCGTGCATTACAGACATCCTGGGTCATGCGAAATCTGCATGACAAACCCGGCAAGAACATTCCAGACCCAGATATTTTTGCATTTGATATCGCCGTGGCGTGGCCAACTACTGCCGGGACAGCAATGACGTTTCTCTCGAAGGCCGGGACGATGAGTACTTACGGCGGTGGGAACTACAACAAATTTACACAGAGTGTACTAGTACACACAGAACAATAAATAGTACAACGATGTGCAACATGGGAACAGTACTACCGCCACCGCAGCCGTTTCTTCAACAAGCACTTCCCGCGACGCTCGGTGGGCCGCCGGCGCAAATGTACCAATTACCTCAACAACATCCACAGGGCGCGGCTCCGGTGTTTCATCCGACTAATCCCATGATGCCAGTCGGAGTTGTTCCACCAGCATCTGGAACTACCTCAGTTGTGCCGCAGTCTACTACAACTGCGCATAATTACACCAGCATGCCAGGAGGAGTCTCGACTGCGACTCCCATGGGGCCGCCCGTTTCGGCGATGTATAATAGCCTGTCAGTGCCACAGGCACAGCATTTTCCATCCGGATTTTTTGGTGCATCATCTTCGCAGCCGATGATGGCTCCTGGAGCGGGTTCTGTTGGAGTGATGCCCATGCAGATGCCGGCAGCCGGCGCAACGGGAACTGCAATGATGCTCCCTCAAGCACAAGCTTCTGCTACTGTGCAACAGCCTGGTGGCACCAGCTTCATGACGGCCGAACAGATGCACACGCAGCAACAGCAACCTGGTGCTTTCGTCGATCATACAGCATCTTCGGGTTTCTCTAGTGCCAACGATCAGGCGACAAGCAGGAGCACAACTTCTCAAGAACATGGAACTACAGGCAGTGCGAAGATTATGGCCGGTGAAGGTGATATTGAACCAAGGACGAAAAGCAAAAATCTGAAAAAGAAACTAACCCTCACCGATGAGAAGCGAGCTTTGCTAGTAGAGGCTGCAAGAAAGGCTGCAATGGAGCAGACGAATGGAACAACGACGAATGGTGCGCCTTCCTCGTCCTCCACTTCTAGTAGGAAAAGTAGGTTCGACAGGCCCCCGCCGGGTGGTGGTTCCTCCAACAGCGCAGCTTCATCTTCTACTTCGGTTCATGATCTTCTCCGGAACAATTCTGACATTCTTCGCAAAGCTAGTGAAGAGGAATTGGAGAAGCGGAAAAGGAACGCTTTGAAAGAGAAAGCAGCGGCAGATCATATCCTGTGCAAAACTATCGTACACGTATTGCAATCATGCATTACAAATTTTTCTCTCAAGGTAAATACGCATTACAAATTTTGTTTCTCATGCTGAGGGAATTTGTCATGCATTTATACGAGTAGGAGTGCGATACTTTTGCAGTTCATAGATCATCTGATGGAAATACATCGATCTGGCACCAGCACGAAATCCTCTGTCTTCACGGCCGTATCACAGGAAAAAGTGTTAACGTTAACGGAATTTGTGATGCAGGAGCGCATCAGAAAAGGTGCGTGAATTTGTATTGCATAGCAAGCCCTCTAGGCAAAATTTGTCATGCATAGCTGCAATTCATTTCTATGAGTTGTCCTTGTCAGCCGTTAACGTTATACAGCACTTTTTTGTTTGATAAGCCGACCCCTCCGTGCAGACTAATTTTCCGAAGGGTATTTGCACATTCGACATCCCCTTCAGCAATCGTGGGGAAGAACAGCGGAAGTGTCACGTCTGCTCGAAGGTTATCCTGTGCAAAAGTATCGTACTCGTTGTACTAATCGCAGTCATGCATTACAAATCTCCTTGTTAACCTAAATCCGCATTACAAGTTCCATTTTTCATGCTGTGAGAATTTGTCATGCGATTTCTACTAGTGCGATACTTTGGCAGTTCATGAAGATGAAGGTTTGTTCATTCGAGATAACAGAATTACCGAAATGCGCGGAGTGCTTCAGACGGGTTTGTGACAATCCGGCTTGCCATATGACAGTGCACAACTCCCCCTCCCCCACATTTGCATAGCAGGAGCAGCAATACAAGCACCGGCAAGAATGTCGGTTTTGCATGACAAATTTGCACTGGATTGTAGTGCTATTCGGGCTGCCAGAACTTGTCATGCAAACAGTGCTAAGAGGCACAGCCTGGATTGGGTATTTTGCATGACAAATGAGGGGGAGGGAGAGCTGTGCACTGTGATATGCCAAGAAAAACATGTCGCGAAGTGCGGGCTTGCCCGAGCGGAAAAACGAAAGAAGGACGAGGAGCAAGGAGCAGCAGCTGGTGGTGCTTGTTCTGCAGGCTCGGGTAGTTCATCTGCTGTTTCGTCTTCTACTTCCGGCGAAAATGCTCTTCAAAATGCAGTCGCTGCTGCCGGTGCTGCTGGTGGACCTGCAATGCAAAGTGCTGCCGGTGCTGGTGCGGGTGCCGGTGCTTCTGGTGGACCTGCAATTCAAAGTGCAGTCGCTGCTGCCGGTGCTGCTGGTGGACCTGCAATGCAAAATGCAGTCAATGGTGCGGGTCGTGCCGGTGCTGCTGGTGGACCTGCAATGCAAAATGCAGCCGCTGGTGCCGGTGCCGGTGCTGCTGGTGGACCTGCTGGAGCCGGTGGGACGAACAATAGATCCAAAACTCCAAGAAACAATAACCCATTTGCACAAGGTGTGGTGCTTCAGCGGGGAGGAGTGTTTACGCAAGCAGCTGTACAAGTAAGTGGTAATGGTAATGGAAATCCGAACAACCCTCCACTGATTTCATTTTCGATCAAGAAAAACGGATTGAAGAACAATGCTGAGGGCAGTAAAGCAAGTGCAACTGCTTCGGCTACGGCTTCGTTGGCAAGTACAAGTTGTCCTCAGGTGGTGGATCCGGCGTTACAACAGCAGCAGCTGCAGCAGCAACAGCAGCTGCAGCAGCAACAGCAGCAAGAACTACCGAGTCAAGAAAAATTAGGATTGCAACAACCGCAAGGAGGTCAGCCCACAAATACAACAGATAATTCCACTGCTGGCGTCGAGAAGAACGTCCTCGAGACGAACAAGAACAACACAGTGACGAAGAGTAAGAATCCCTTTCCGCGTGCTGCGCGCCAGAGTCTCGTGTTTGGTCCTCGCAAGTTGTCTTTATCGCGGAAGAGGTCGCGCAGCACCAGTAGTCGCGAGCCCCAGAGGAGCCGAAGCCCGTCGTCCAAGGGGAAGAGAGGGCGGAGCTCTTCCCGTAGTAAACTATCCACAGGAAATTTCCCGGACACGTACAAATGCGGTCTCTGCATGACAAAACTTGGCTTTGATCCTAGTTTAGCATGACAAGTTTTACGCTCCAAATTGGTAGAATTTGTGATGCATCTTGTACATGTACGGGAAATTTGTATTGCATAGAAACCGAAACGGCGCACCAGCAGAGGCAGAACACCCTTGCCGCGCGATCGGTACCATGATAGGGGAAGGAGCACCTTCAGACGAGGCCAAAGCAGCTTCAGGCCTGGGCCGAGCAGGCTGCGAGATCATGACAGAGGCAGAAGCACCTTCAGGCCCGGGCCGAGCCGCCGCATATCAAATATAAAAATGTCTGGGTCTGGGAACTTGTGATGCTGCGTAGCGTCTCATGATGAGGCTACAAATGCTGGCTCAGCATGACAAGTTTCTGAGCGCCTAGGTGTTACCTATTCTGCATGACCAACTGCGCTTCTGCATCAGAGAAAAACGCAGCTCTTGGGTAACGTGCATGACAGATTTAAGAGTCATGCCAAACAAGCATGACAAACATGAATTCTTCCAGACCCAGACATTTCTACAGTTGATACCGCAGGTCACCGTACAATCACGACCGGTACAGTCGGTATAACGACCGCTATCGCGCCGGCGGACGCGCGCCCAGCGAGGTGCGCACCATGCGGGGGGATCTTCACACAAAAGTGGGCAATAGCGGGGGAGGACATGGGGCCCAGAAGGTGCACAGCCTGGCTAGGGGGGAAGGACAAGGAGCCGCGCCTGGAAAGAGCACTAGTGCAGCTGCGGCTTCTTCTTCTTCTGCTGCTGCTCTAGTACTGCCCGACGGTACACGGTACAGCTACTGGAGCTCGGGCGGTACAACTACTGGCGCACCGACGGGAGGAGTACTATCCGGTGATCATGTTGCGGACGGTACTACAACTGGTGCAGCTGCTGTGTATTCACCTGGTGATCCAATCGACGAGAAGTGGGTGACACCGGCAAACGTTGACGACGCGACCCTGAAGGTCGACGATGAGGATCCCCGGGCTCTGTTACTACGTGCGAAGGAGGAGGAGAAGCTGAAGGCACAGGAGCGAAAAAGACAAGAGAGAGAAGAAGCGGCGCGAAAAGCTGCACAAAAAGCCGCACAAGAAGAACTGGAAAAAAAGCAGCGAATGCTGAAGTACGAAAGGGAAAAGGAGAGAAAAGAGAAACTGGAGAAACAAGAAAAAGAAGAGCGCGAAAAGAAAATGCTAGAACAGCAAGAGCGGGAAAAGGAGCTGGAGCTGCAACGGGAATTAGAAAGAGAACAGGAGGAGCTGCAGAGGAAGCAGGCTATGCATTTTGCAGAATTATCGTACTAATTAGGAATTATCGCAGGACAAGTTTGCGTGGCAATGGCATGAGAAGTAAACTTTGTCATGCTCCTGAATTGGCTTATGAACATGAAGTGCGTAGGACATTTATCATGCGGTATTGCGATAAAAGTTAGTAGGATACTTTTGCAGTGGATACCAGCGGAGATTGACCTTCAGCAACAGAAGCGCGACGCCATTCGGAGGCAGCTGGAGGAGCAGCAAAAGAAGCGAAAACTGATGACGGAGCGGGAGCAAAGGGAGAATGAGGAGAAAGAGCAAGCGCGCACTGCGATGGAAAGCGCGGCGAAAGAGCGGGCGGAACGGGAAGAGCTATCTGCGAGGTTAATACAACAGGAAAAGGAGCAGGAAAAAGTAGAAAAGCAGAAGCAAAAGGCGACGAAAAAGAGCACTTCAACATCTGCTCACCAGGTGTTGAAAAAAGGACAAGGAGCGGGAACTGCATCATCTCGCCAGGAGCTGTTGAAGAAGGGAGTGGAATCTAGTAGCAGCGGTAAACTACACATCAAAAAGGCGGGCAGCAAAGTTGTCGTGTCAGCGACGACGACTAGCGGGAGTTCATCTAGTGACCACCAAAATCTTCAAAAGGGAGGACATGATGATGATGATGGTGCACCACCTCTTCACATGGAAAAAAAGAAACTCGTGGTCGACAAGAAGGCACTTCCGAAGAAAAAAAAGAAACCCGTGGTCGACAAGAAGTTACTTCCGAATAGTAAAAACAAGGTCAAGAAATCCGTGGTGGACAAGAAGTTGCTATCCAAGAAGGAAGTGAAGGCTCTCACAGCTGCTGCCAGGAAAAAGGTGCAGGAAGAGAAGAAGACGAAAACCAATGCAGCTTCCGGGATGAAAAACAAGAAGGGGCAACAGATGCCTGCTGCCTCTACTTCTTCCACGAGCAACCCACAACAAGTTCAACGCACTACCGATCATTCTGGGCTGTCGGACATAGGAGCGCCACCTCCATCTTCGGAGAATAGAGGAGAAGGAAAGCGAAAGCAGCAGCAGCGGCAAAATGGCAAGAAGCCGAAAGTTATGAACTGCAAAAGCATCGTACTAGTACAAATTGCGATTACAAATTTGCTCAGCATGACACATTCAACTTGTAATGCTGTTTTACCTTAGGAAGAAGATTTGTCATGCATCATAGCGCTTACTACGAGTGCAATGTTGCTTTTGCAGAGGATAAAAGTCGAACTGCGTCAGGACGGTGTTGAACAGGAGATGAAGCTGCAGGACGAGCAGGGGCTTCAACAGCTGCAAAATGCCAAAGCGCCACCTCCATCTTCGGAGAATACGAATAGAGGAGAAGGAAATATGCGAATAAAACAGCAGCAGCGGCAAAATGGCAAGAAGCCGAAAGTCGAAGTACGACGTCAGGAGGAACATCACGACGGGCAGGAGGAGGAGAAAATCGAAATTCAGCTGGAAGAACAAAATAATAATGCCACAGCGCTGCAAAGTAGAAAGCAAAAACTTCTGCGCCAGCAGGACCACGAAGAGAAACAGAAAAAGAAAATACAGCAGGAACAACAGAACAAGGCTAAAACGCTACTTCTCCGTCAGAATCTGAAGGCGCTGCAGCAACGACAGGAACAGGAGCAGCAACTGCGCGAAAAACTTGATGCGGAGCCAGTTTTGATGAACCAAGGGATTGCGGGGGCAGCAGCAGCAGCAGGAGCGGAGGCGGGTTATCTGTCTTCTCCTTTTGATATAATTTCCTCTGCACAGGAGCAGGATGAAAAAGGAGATTCTCATCCGGTGATCAACAACACCTCCCGGGACGAGATGTTGAACACAATCACCCACGACGCTGCTGTTTCGTCAGCTGACCGCGACTCTTTTCGTTCCAGATCTCGACTTCGTCGTCGTCCGTTAGATCGCCAATTTTCGCGATCCCGGAGCGGACACCGAGGACGGGACGAAAGAGGAAGATCTACTGCGCATAGGTCTTCGCAGGGTGGTGCCAGCGCGGTGCAAGGAGGGGGGCAGCATTCCCACCGGCCTCGCCTGGGCAGCCGCAGTACCCCAGTTAACCAACTTTTGGCACCACCCTCGACCACCAGGAGCTGTACCACGACAGGAACAAATACGACACGGAACTACAATCATGGTCTGGCAGAAGGAGCGACAAGTAGCACGAACACCACCAGTGGTCTACTCGTTGCGCGACAGCAAGAAGATGATCAGGATCTTTTATTTCAACGGCAGTACTACGAAAATCAACAGCACTACACAAAAAACACTGGTGCTGCTCACGGGCACCAGGCAGCAGCTTCGTCATCCTCATTCTCTGTCGGACAACAGGAAGATGAGCCTCTTGACAGCAGTAGACAGAGAGGCGAAAGTGCAGAGTCATTTTTGGACGAGGAACAGGAACGATACTATGAGGAGCTGAATTTCAACTACGACGCAGCACAGCATGTTGCAGAGAGTCCTCGTCGTGCCGGGTCTTTTTTAAATGATCATCATGCTGCTCCTCCTCCTCCCCCGCCCGATAGAAATATTCATCACGCGGATCATGAAACAAGAGCCACTACGTCTAGAAACAACCACGACACCACCTCCGATCTTCATCTTCCCCGTCACAACTACAGGACCCGCACGGAGTCCTTTGACTCACGACGGCGATCACGGTCGAGAGTGCGACGAGAAGACATTGATCGGAAAAGCGACAGGCGCGGCTCGGAATTATCCGGCGGAGCAGGATCGCCCACGCCACCTCGTGCAGAGAATGCTGAGGAGGAAGGAGGAGATCCGATGCTCCGGGCGTTGGGAAACATGTACCGATTTTAGGAAAACATGAAACGACGGGCGTCGTCTACAACACCCGTGCCGTTTCAGGAACAAATAATGTACGAGGTTTTTACTAGTAGAGAAGAGCGGGAAGTTGAGAAGTGCGTCGCAGCTTCTCCTCGTCATACTACTTACGTAGAACTCGAGTTTTATCCGTATCTATTTATTCTGGAGTGGTAGTGGTCTTGTTACCAACATTTTTGGCAAAAATGTTGGTTGATGTCGCCCTTTCATTTTTATTTCGACGTCGTCTGCGAGTGCGAAAATGAAAATGTCAAAACACGACATGAATTTCATCGAACTTTCTTGATGCAACACTTCATCGTCAAAAATACGGGCACATTAATTGTGGTCTGGCTCGCATGAAAATCAAAATTCAAGTGAGCTGCCAGTACATTTTTTCAAACGACGACTTTTTGCAGCTCCAGGTGTGAGGGCCCTTCGTTTTTTATTCAAGGAGACTCAACTACAATCTGTCTTTACTCGTCCCCACCTCAGTTAGTACTAGTAGCACTAGACAGCACCCGGCTATTCAAGTCCTTGAGTCGGAAAAAATTTTGCCATTTCTGTGTTAGTCCGATACAAAACAAAGAATGCTGTCGATGAAATGAAGGAACTCCACCAACACGACGACTATACTAACTTATTCACGAGATGAAAACTAAGAACAAGACATGGCTCGAAAATTGGTGGCGCTACCTCTAGGCTGCGAGCGACAAACAAACTTTTGGAAGACGTACGATTTCCGAGGTTACATGGCTTGCGACATTCTTATTTTTCAAATTTTCAATTCAAGTACTACAACAGATCTACTTCATGCGAAAAAATATATACGACAACCTCAACCAGCTAGAAGATGATGAAAGGCAAATGCTACCATGGATGTCTATGACTATGTCTTCACAGCTGGTTGCCATTCGATTTCTACAACATAGAGGGCCAGATATTAGTTGCTGCAGCTTTGCTAATTGTAATTTTGACGATCGATGTGTTGTATGTGTGCAAAAATGCGAAAAATTTCATATCCTTTTCATCTAGATAAGTAAATCTTTGAGAAAAATCTTTGCCGGGCAGCAGAGCTAGCGTCGCTCTCTTTGCACTCGTGATTGTAGTGGTTGCGAAATTTCTCCTATACAAAGGAGACGCTTTTTTTTTATATTTGTGTTGCGAACCTCAACCTCCTGTGTGTTGCAGTATCTAGGGCCAATACCAGGAGCGAAGCCGCAAAAAATCGTTGAACTGCGAGCGACTGAAAGTCTTTCTTTCATCAAGAATCTTGTCGTGTGCAAGCTGCAACAGCAAGAATTGGAAAAATCAAAGATGAAGGTTCAGTGGTGTCGCGAGTTTTGTTGTGAGTGCAAAAAGTAAAAATCTTCGTGAGTGCGACGTCGCGTTTCATTGCAAATGATTGTCCCTAGTACTCCCTTTCGCCACTCCATTGAATCAAATTACCACGGCGCGCCGGGTGCGTGTTTGTTTCAATCTGTAGCTTGCCGAGATGAGTAGAGGACTGACGAGAACTTTTTGTCCTACCGTTATTTTAGGTGAACTATGAAGTAGTAGAGTCAGCACATCTTCATCTTGAAGGAGCAGTGTGGTTGCTTGAAAAATTACGATTTCCTCCGGCTCAGATCGCGGAAAACCGATGATGTTCGCGACCGTAGTACCGGACGCCGAGGGTGTTGCAGATCCTGTGGCACCTACAACTTTTCCCGCCGCTGTTGAGCAAGCCTTTCTAACTTCCGCGACAGAGGTCGCTGACCCGTTGCAGCAAGAAGCAGGAATAAATCAACATGAAGAAAACTACAAGTCCGGCTCTGAAACCGAGACAAGACCACGACGACCTTCTGCTGCTTCAGGTTCTACCAATCCGCCGAAAAAGAAAAAAATCCTTCCCGCGGATGACGCAACCCTGCAGAAGTACGGCACGCCGAGCCTCGCCTCGTTGAAGAATAAGTTTTCCCTCGGAACAAAATCGTTTTCCTCCACATTATTACTCCCGCCTCACAGCGCCGGTGGAACGTCAAGCCGACTGGACTCTTCCGCCGTGGCTGGTGAACAGTATTACAACAATAAATTCCGTACCCCCTCCACCGCCGCGCCGCAGAGTGCGGGAGGAGTTTTCAACAACCATCAAAATAACGCAGCACCTATGTCCACCCGCCCTTCTTCCGCCGCGTTCGAACGACGAATGATGCAAGGACGGCGGATATGAAATGAAAAAGCATCGTACTAGTTGTATATTGCATATACAAATTTCCTCAGCATGAGAAACAAAATTTGTAATGCAGGTTTACCTTGAGAAAAAAATTTGTAATGCATGACTGCAATACGAGTACGATAGCGATACTGTTGCAGTGCATAACGGAAAAACAAAGACGATCTGCGTTCCGAATACAGCGATTTGTTCACGCGCTTGACGAAAATTGGAGGGAATTTTGACGTATCCTGCGCAAAAGTATCATACTCGTACTCATTGCAAATATGCATGGCAAATGTTCTTCTCAAGGTAAAACAGCATTACAAATTGCATTTGTCTTGCTGATTGCTAATTTGTCATGCAATTTATACTAGTACGACTACGATGCTTTTGCAATTCATATGACGAAAATGTAAGACGGTCGCTAGATCCAGCTGATCATGATGTTGACGGTTTATTTCACAACTACGGTCGTGGTGGTTTTGACGCAAACCGGAGTCTACAGGAGCGGCAACTACTACACGGGAAGATGATGAACACGACGGGAGAAGAAGATCATCAAGATCTTGTTTTGAGAAATAAAACCACCAACCGTCGTCCAATCTCCGCGGTGTCGTCCAACCGATCCTCCTTACAGTTCACGACGAAGATGACATCACGAAACGCAACAGCACAACAACAGCACAACAAAACGGTTTTAAACCTGCCCTTGCCGAATCTGCGGAAAAAGTCGCCCATCCAGAAGTGGAAGCAGTACCAAATGAACAAAATGGTGAAGGACTTGCGAAAAAACGTGAAGGAGCTAGAACGCCGGTCCTCCGAGAAGAAAAAGCGGCACCGCGAGCGGGCCGCGGTCGTATGCATTGCAAACACTAGTAGAAGTAATCGCATGACAAATTTCCGTAGCATGCGAAATGGAATTATTTGTAATGGGGATGCAACTAAAGAAAGAGGTTTGTAATGCATGACTGCGATTACTGCTACTAGTCCGACACTTTTGCAATGCATAGGTCGGGGACTACGACTACTCCGACACGGAGGAAGAATATGAAAGTGCACAACTCCCCCTCATACTCATTTGTGTTGCATGGGCAGCAATACAACCGTCAGCAGGAATGCAGGTTTTGCATGACAAATCTGCACAGGTGGATTGTAGTGCTAGTATTACTTGGGGTCGTGCCAGAACTTGTCATGCATAATAGTGACCGGAGCGTAAATTTGGAATTGGTGTTTTGCATGAGAAATGAGAACGAGGAGGACTTGTGCACTCTCATAAGGAAAATCATGAGGAGGGACCCAAATCCGCCAGGACGCCGGTGGAGAAGTTGAAAAAGCGTTTAGATCGGCAATTTTTTCGGGACCAGGACGATTTCGAAGCGGAGATACGGATTGCAAAAATGTCTGGGTTTGGAAAAATGCCAGGTTTGGCATGCTCTGCTAGCATGACTGTCAAGTCTGTCACGCAAGGTGCCCAAAAGCGCCACTTTTGTGTCATGCAAAAACCCAGTTTCTCATGCAGAATAGGCAACACCTAGCGACTCAAAAACCTGTCATGCTGAGCCGTCATTTCTGGCGTTGTCTTGATTCACCAACCAGCATCACAAGTTTCCAGACCCAGACATTTTTGCAGTTGATAGGAGATTTACGAAGACAACGGCTTTCTGGCCGACGAGAACTTTTCTCACCACCTTCATGGTGCGGCGGATAAGAACAACCTCCAGGGCGTTTCGAAACAGTTGAGTTACGACGACGGCATATGGGAGTGTCAGGATTGATGAAACCGACAAAGTTGGAATTAGTTTGTCACGTAAAATGCGAGGCACAAGGTGCCTGCCTTGCGAGGATGGCAAGTGAGGCTGTTTGTCAGCCTGTTTAGGCGGGTAGAGTAGAGCTGCCAAGGATCATGACAAACGCAGTCTTCTTTGCCCCAAACAGCATGACAGATTGCGTTTCGATGTAGTAGCCGAAATTTGTCATGCGCCGCTTCGTAATTGGGGGTCCAAGTGGTATCCATTTTATGCATGACAAACTAATTTCAACTTTGACGATTTCGGTCCTGACACTCCCATACGGCACGTCCTCTGCCGGGTTCTCCACCTCGCGCCCAACGTCCGCCACGACAAATCAAAATACTGCCTCTCGGTATCCCACGAAAAAACTGCTTCACTGTGATGATCTTGCAAGATCTGCATCACAAGTTTGTTGCCCATGACACAGAAAATTTGCCATGCGCGCTTCCAAAGGGAAAACACCGCTAAAGAGTCGAGGTCTTGCAGGTGTGGCAAGACAAATAGTTCTGTCTTCCATTCTATGCATCACAAGTTCACTGTGAAACAGTTTTTTCTTGCGATACTCGGCCGGTGTCCTCCAATGTGAATTTCGGCGGTGCTCCTGGAACGAGACCACCCTCGGCCACCACCGGTGGGTATCCTGTGCAAAAGTATCGCACTCCCTCGTATAAATGCAAATGTATAGAAGGAGAAACGGTGATCATCCGACATGATCATGGACCGAAGAAAAATCGCAGCGTGCCCTCGTGGAAAGGGTGTTTTTTTTACGGACCGCAGAAATGACACAGCTTTTCCCAGGGTGTGGCAGTGTTTATTGCGCACATTATGCGAGCAGTGCTGAAGCTGAGAAAGGCCGACAATGGGCGGGCGCTTTTGTGACCACAGGCGCTTTGTTTTCATTGTTGTTGGACGCATGAAACCACTCCACCTACATGGACACGAGCGCCCACGCGTTTGGTTCGTCGAGCGCTCTGATCTCGGCCGGAGCGCGACGCTTGACGAGGGTCGGGCCCATAGCGTAAAGCAGGCGCGTTTGGACTGTCATCCCCCGCGTGGTGCGCGCCCAGCTTCGTGCCCCGGCCTTGCCCGCCTCCCTGCCGCGAAGGCGTCGAGGCATCGACGGGCCGGGGGCCCGGCTCATTCAAATCCAGTGGTGGCTGCCTTTTGCGTGCCGCCATCGCCCACTACATTTCGGGCAGCAAAAAAATACACGGGCGCCGGCGGAGAAACGGCGCCGCTACTTACTTGCAAAAAGCAACGGAGGCCATGCCGTCGGTGCTGAATTTGCACCGATGGCACGACGCAGTTTGGTGAAGAGAAAGAACGCGGCGCGACTTTCGCGCCCCCGCTTCAGCATGTTGAAGACGATGAAGCACCTTGCTGCGCGGCCGCGGCAGCTGCGGCGTCTCTCTCATAGTCGGCGCAGGCAGGGACCGCGATAGACACTCGCTATGCCATCACGCAGGGCCCCGGCCTAGCGCCTGCCAAGAAAGAACAAAAGCAGCGCCGCCGCATATAAATTTCGCCCGGCGACGAAGCGCATGCCCCGCCCGGCGCAGCCGTGGAGCCGGCTCACCTGAGAAGGGCGCAGAACTCCCAAAGCAGCCACAGCGCTGCACCGCCTCGAGCCTGGCTGCCAGTTCCTGCACCGGCCTCGGGCCCCTAACTGTGAGCGGCTGCCCCACTTGTAATTGGCAGGCCCAGCCTGGAGCCAGGGCTTCCGGGCCTTCAAGGAACTGGCGCAGAGCATACTATAGCAAGGCGCTGCTTCTTCATCTTCTTCGACAACGTGCTGCATTTCTCGCAAAGAAACGCGTTGTCGGAAATGAGTGCCGGAAGACTACAGAAAAACAATGATAATGAGTGTCGAATCACTGATCATGAAAAAAAAAGACCCTAGTTGAATGCTGATCATCAAATCAAAAAAATCGTTTGATGATCAGCATTGCCACGAGCTAACAAAGGTGATCATCAAATCAAAAAAGTCGTTTGATGATCAGCATTCAGCTAGGGTCTTTTTGTTTCATGATCAGTGATTCGACTCTCATTTAGATCAGTGCTTTTCTGTAGTCTTCCGACACTCATTTCCGACAACGCGTTTCTTTGAGAGAAATGCAGCACGTTGTCGAAGAAGATGAAGAAGCAGCGCCATGCTATAGTATGCTCTGCGCCAGTTCCTTGAAGGCCCGGAAGCCCTGGCTCCAGGCTGGGCCTGCAAATTACAAGTGGGGCAGCCGCTCACAGTTAGGGCCCGAGGCCGGTGCAGGAACTGGCAGCCAGGCTCGAGGCGGTGCAGCGCTGTGGCTGCTTTGGGGGTTCTGCGCTCTTCTCAGGTGAGCCGGCTCCGCGGCTGCGCCGGGCGTGGCATGCGCTTCGTCGCCGGGTGAAGTTTATATATATTTGGCGGCGCTGCTTTTGTTCTCTCTTGGCAGGCGCTAGGCCGGGGCCCTGCGTGATGGCATAGCGAGTGTTTATCGCGGTCCGTGCCTGCGCCGACTATGAGAGACTCGCCGCAGGAGCTGCCGCGGCCGCGCAGCAAGGTGCCTCGCCGTCTTCATGTTGAAGCCGGGGCGCGAAAGTCGCGCCGCGTTCTTTCTCTTCACCAAACTGCGTCGCGCCGTCGGTGCAAATTAAGAACCGACGGCATGGCCTCCGTTGCTTGTTGCTAGTAC